CAATCCCACTCCTGGGTCTATAGCCAAAGGAAAATGGAAAGAAAAACAGGAGAGCAAAGAGCTATCTAGGTGCCCATGTCATGGCAGCGTCATTCACCAAAGCCAACACGTAAAAGCGACAGATGAATGGATAAAGAAAATATGGTATGTTATGTACAGTGGACTATCATTCAGCCCCGGGAAGAAATCTCTGCAGCTTAGGACAAAATGGATGGAGCATGAGTGCGTTATGCTAAATGAAACAAGCCGGCCAAAGATAACCCCCCTGCGGTATCGCAGAAAAGCTGTTGTTGGGGGCGGAAGGAGGAGGAATTGGAGGGGCTAGTGGGACTGTACCCAAGTTCAGCTGTAAAGTGACCACGGTCTGGGGGCCTAATGCAAAACAGGTGACGGCTGCTGAGAATGCCGTCACGCCATGTCGCCGAACCGTGCGGGGCACTTACATGTTCCCGCCACGCACGCACACGTGCACACGCACACACAAACGTGCGGTGATGGAGCTGTTAACTATCCAAGCGGGGGGACCACTCACAGCGCAGACGTGGATCAAATCACCATGACGCGCGTTTTAAGTATCTCGTGACTCTGTCGATTACACCTCAATAAAGCAAACATTTTTTACAAAGTGAAACATCTTCTAAAAATGACCGTTTGGGGACAAGATGGCACACTTGGGCTGAAGGCTCCTTCCGGTCCAACTGTAAAGGTGCCATCAACGCAGTTCCTGCAAGAAACCCCGGGGCAAGAAAGTTAGCTCATCGGTTCCCCCACGGGAAGGAGTGGCCGCCTGAACCTGTGAGAGGCCCCCGGCACGGAGAAGGCCGTTCCGGCCGAGAACTGAGCTGGACTGTAACTGCTCCTTCAGTCTCTTCCAGGTGGTCTCCTGAAAACTGATTTGCATGTACAGCTCTGTCAGATAAGGCCAGATGCCTTTGCATGAGCTGTGCAATTTTGCATTAGCGTTAGGAATGTATTAAGAGTGTCTGATAATTCACAGCCATGCTGAGTGTGTGGTCAAATTTTTGGATTTCTGACAATTTGATAGTTAAGATGAAATGACGGTCGAGAAATGGTATCTCTGTTGTTTTAAACTGACTTTCTGAGTGACTCAGACCATCTTTTCGTTTAGGGACTTTCTTTGTGAACCAGGCTATTGGTGAGTTTTGTCCACTGTCCTGTCATGCTTTTGGTCTCATCAGTTTTTTTTTAAAAAATGCATTTCAGCCTTTTGTCTGTGGCACGAGCTGCAATTATTTCTTCATCTGTCTCTTACTATGCTTATGGTGCTTAGTAAAACACACCATAACATGCTGTCAACGTTTCTTTAATCCCTAAGTACTTAAACTTATCAGCCTTTACTATCCTTTCTTCTGAGTCTGGGTGATAATAGTTAACATTTCCTTTCTCCCATTTCGAAAGGAATTTATCCATTCCTTGTGGGGCTTGTATGGTTTCATGTTTTCACATTTAGGCCTCAAATCTTATTTTGCTGATTCTGTTTTTCTGGTCTTTTATGTCCTTGCTGATTTTCTGTCCACTTGCATCAGACCGTAATCAGGGACTTTTTCCCTTTCAGGTCTGTCTGTTCTCATTTCATATATTTTGAAGCTCTGAACTAGGTGCAAATACCTTTAAGACTGTCATGTCTTTATGCTGAACTGGCCCTTTATTATGACGAAATGTCCTCTCTATCCCTGGTAACGCTTATCCTGACATTTACTCTGTCTCACGTTAATAGTCCTCCAGCTTCCTGAGTAATTAATGCCTGCGTGGCCTCTGTCTGTGTTCAGAACCCGTGGAACGCATTATTTGCACAGGTTCAAGAGGGAACGCTGAGAACAGACCGCAGAAAGCTGAGAATCATACTGAATGAAAGAGGCCTAACCAGACCTGTGGAGAAACAGCTCCCCTCGGCCTGGGGGGACAGTGAACGGAAAGTTAACACTTCTGGTGCGTTGGTGCAGTGATCTGGACGTGGAACGTGCATTTCGTCCCCTTGGCAAACATGTGGAGGTCAGTTTGAGACTGAGCTCCCGTGAAGGCCTGGAGTCAGAGAAATAAACCTCCGGACATTCATTTCTGCTTATGGAATCTGTGTTCCTCCGTGAATAAAATCAATGTCTTTTTGGCAGCAAAGTGAATCACTAAGGTGAAGGGTAAGAGTCTATTTAGTGGGTAAAAGTGGATTACTGGCCAACAATATATCACAGGAACACTGACTAAGCATGACAGTGTATATTTGTAATGGCACAAGTCACCTCGGATTTTAGGCTTTTATTAAGACGACCCAGACTCACGCATGAGAAAAGAAATGTGCGTTTACACATTTAAGGATTTTCAATTTTCAAAGGCCCCTTGTTTTACAGTTTAATGTTAAAGCTGACATTTTTGTATCTTCCTTTATTAAAAGGTTACTCTTCCCAGCCACTCTGTCAGGTTGTCACCATACAGGTTAAATTCCAGAGAGAGATTTACCATGAAATTAACAAAACTTTAACTTGACACCCTCACTTACACTGGCCCCTTTAACTTAGGTCCTCACTTTTGTACCTAATTTTGACTCCTAATTCCATATTCTTTTCCTTAGAGAGTCCCCCAAATTGTAAAAGCCTCAGGTTACATAAGACCTAAAAATGCCTAGAATTATTAAAGTATTCTTATTCACCTCATTTTATTTAGTTCTAAAAATTACTATTTCATCCTCCAAAATTTTCTTGGATTTTGTTCTCCTTAATTTCTATGGAAACTACTTTAGTTCAGGGCTCCCTCACTTGAAAACTCTGTCGTGACGGCCTGATGTTGGTTTCCCTGACCGCACTCTCTCCAGAAGAATCCACCCTACTGAAAGCTGCCAGACTAATATTTTTTTTAAAAAAGAAACACTGCTTATTTTGCAAAATTGCCATCCAAGCTTGAGATATTTTGGTGACTTCTCACCATCACTGATCTTCTGAAACTGGGATGCTTAAATGCCCAGGTAGAAGTGGCAATCAGAGGATATGAAGCCAGAAGAGAAATGTGACACATTTTTCTAGAGCATCATTTTTACTTGATGGCAAGTGATTTAAACGATTACTTTCCCTTTCTTCTCCTTACTTACACCAGATATCGAGTTGAATGTAAAAAGAAAAAAATTTTGGAGCTCAGATTCAGAGAATGTGATTCATCATTATTCTTGGCTCATGACACATTCTCATCATCGGTGCAGTCAAGGACCTCAACGTCCACTCATTCAGAATAATATAGCAAATCCCCATGAAATCACCACCGATGAGAAAACCTGGATGTACGTTTATATTTACATTCCCCTGTTTGATCATCCATTGCATCGCCCAGCCTCTTCCAAAGTAACCCCAGCCAAATCAACATTCTCCTGCTTTTCTCTGTAATATTACAGGTAAATATATTCCTAACAAAGCTCGGGCATGGGGATTTTTAGTTATTAACTTTATAAAGTCTACCACATGCTGCACATAATTCTTAAGGACTTAGTCTTCCCACTCACTATTATATTGTGAGGATTAATCCATATTGTGGCATGTAACTGTAGTACATTCATTTGCCGTGTTGTATAAATATATCCTAATTTATTTATATATTCCTCTACCTGTAGATGGGCACGTGGATTGTTTTCAGACTTTGGTATTAAAGAGCACAGTCACGTGATGGTAAACTTTGGGAGGGCGGTTTTCATGGGGAAAACTTCAAAATCTAAAGATTAGTACAACTGAGACCTTAGAAAACCTGGAAATATGATAAAGGGACCTGGCAGATATGGAAAAGATGTTATACGAACTTGCCACTAGCCCTGGTTTTCAGTGTGGGGCGAAGGGTTAGGATACTGTTTGTTGCCCTGGAGAAGGGAATGTTATGCAGCCATCCCTGGTTCTGTCGTCAGTCACAGGAATGAATGAAATGCTTCACACCTCTGTATTTCACTGACTGCAAGACTTTTTTTTTTCTTCATTTTAACACCTGTGAATGCTCTGCATCTTGCAATCAATGGTGTGTCACGGGTTAGTTGTTTCTTTTCTTTTTTAGTGGGATATGGCGCATCTTACGATCAATAGCATGTTGGATTTGATGAACTCGGTGTGCCGGGAACCGCTTTGAATGCTTGATAATATACTTTCTCATTTCATCTTCATAAGTTTTATGCAGCTGGTGTTGGCAACATTTTACAGATAAGGAAACTGAGGCTCAAGGGCTATCGTCAATTACGTGGCACGGCCAGAACTGAAAACCAGGTCTGACTTCAGGGTCCCGCTCTCCTTGCACCTCGACGTTTACCACGGGTGACACACAGCTGAATAAAAACCTACCCTATCTGAACTTCTACTCAAATCGAGGTGTGGCTCAAATGGGAAGCCCTCCTAACTCCTCGGGGTAGAATCAATCTCGCCTCCATCTGCGCTCCCATCACATTTTACCAATACCTCTTTAACGCCTTATTACAACGCCCAACTTAACAGTATCTTAATCACCCTCTCTGACCCGACAGCCCCTACCACTGTCCCTGCCACCTAGTAGTTCAATGTCTGCGAGGAGGACACAGGGTCTTTGCGGCTAAGTCTCAAGAGAAACAAGGTACGCACACACAAGTAAACAAGGCCTGAATTAGTACTACCCGAGGACTAAAAGTGCATAGGAGTTAAAAAGAAAAGAGGCAACGACAGCAACATGCCCGGGGGATCCAGTTCCACACACGCACGCACACGCACGCACACACACGCGCACAATCAGCCTCAAAAAGCTGAAAAGCGCTACACAGGCTGAAACCCAGCTGCTGAGATATATTCTTTAACCTACACAGCATTTCCAAAAATTTTAATGAGTTTCCGGCACTTATCATTGAACTTTCAGATGCGATCAGGATTTCTGGGTTTTCCTGGAAAACGGGAAGGTTCTGGAGACTGGGTGCCCATTCTCTCGGGAAACCGGTTGGATGCGAGCAAGAATTGCTCCCTAACTCATCGCAGCGCCTCCCAGCACTTGCTCACCGCCAGTCCGCAGAAGCTAACGTCTGTCGGACCCCTGCAGACACCTGGGCTCACGTCCCCTTCCCTAGACACGCCACCCACGTATAAGGCTGCACGTATCTTCCGGCCTCCGTGTCCGGCCCTCGCTCTGCCCGGAGGCCTCGGCGGTCTCCGCAGGCACCTCCTCTCCAGGAACCGCTCGGCTCCTCTCGCTGGCGTCCTCGGACCCCCCCGCGCCGGGCTCCCCGCCGCGTCCTGCGCGCACCTCCCCGCCCCGCCTTCGCCAGCACGCGCGCTCCCGGAAGCCGGCGGCGCACGGCCTCCGCGGCCTGGCGCCTCCGCACGGGCGTTCGGCGCGTGTCGTACGTGTCGGCGGAAGTCGGCCTTCCGACTCCGCGGCACACCGAGGCTCGCCCACGCAACCGGCCGCCGAGGTGGGGCCGAGGCAGACGAGCCCCGACGGGGGGCTCCTGGCCACCCCGCGAGTCAACGCACCAGGCCGGGTCCCGCGCCGCGCCCCGTCTCAGCCGCTCAGGCTCCACCTCTCGCGAGAGCCGGCTGAGCGCCAGCCCTCCAGCCCAGAATGCCAGATTCGCGCGGCCACGCCCCTCCGCGGAAGGAGCCCTGCCGGCGCCGTGCCCCGGAAGCGGAAGCGCGGCCTCCAGGCTGTCAGAGTCGCCGTGTTACCCGGTGGTCCTGAAGTCTCGGGAAGTCCTTTTCGCTGCGTTTTTCCTGGTTCTCGAGCGCTTCCCCCCTAGCGGGTGGGGGCGCAGAGACGGAAGTGCGAGATGAGCACCATGTTCGCGGACACGCTGCTCATCGTTTTTATCTCCGTGTGCACAGCTCTGCTCGCCGAGGGTGAGAGCGGCTGCTTCCCCGACGTTAGAGCAGTCCCCTGGGGGAAGGATCCAAGGCCCGGGGTCCCCCGCGCCACCAGCCTCTCTTGCTTGGAGGGCTCATCTACTTTACTCCGGGGGGAGGGGCGCGGTCTCGGGGCGACTCGTGGGCAGGAGCGGGAGGGATCGTGTGGACTCGGTTACCCAGGTTCCTTTGGTGTGGAGTAGATTTATTTCACTTGCGTACTTGGGGAGGCACCTTCATAGCATGTCACAGATGCTTTGGTCGGAGAGTTTGTTTTAACCTGGAAAAAAGTTAACTGCTGGTACATATAAAGCACAAAGTTGAGATCCCCGCTTAACCAGCAGTAGCCCCTTTCTTGTAACCGCTGCAAACATTTCTCTATGCGCACGTCGCTTTTCATGTTTCAGGTATAACCTGGGTCCTGGTTTACAGGACAGACAAGTACAAGAGACTGAAGGCGGAAGTAGAAAAACAGAGTAAAAAACGTGAGTATGGCAACATCCTTTAACATTGTTTCAACAGGTCAAACTCATTGAGCACACCTTCGCAGTGAATATCTTAGGAGCCCGAACTAAACCCTTTATAGGACTACGAAGATGAATCCAACTTGAAGCCTATTAAGAAACAAGACTTTTATGTGAGACGTATAATGCAAACTAGTGCAGAGTGAGGGCGGTGAGGTGCATGTTATACGCCCTGGTGGTTCTAAAGAACAGGTACTACCCAGTTGTGAGGGGCCGTGGGAGCCTTCGGGGTGCAGACAGCCTTGCAGCCCTTGGTGGGTAGGATCTGGGTGGAGAATGAGCAGGGGAAAGGGTTTCCAGGAAACAGTGTATGTGCAAACAAAACAAAACAAACCCCCAAAACCGAGTCAGGTGCGCTTGGAGAACAGGTTGTTATGACTGGCTTCAAGGTAAGTGGTGTCTTCAGGGATCAGTCAGGTTTCACTGGGTGAGGAGGTTGAAGGACTGTTTGATGAAAAGGTTAAGAACAAACAGAGTTTGTTGTCTTTGAAATAAAACAGGAATTCTACAGGACACAGCTGAGGAGGCTGCTGGAGGTATAATGTGAATAGATTCCTATAGGCTTGATTAGGCTTTCAGCGTTAGTTCTTTTCTGTCTCCTAAAGCTTAAACCGAATATTTACATCCTAAAATTCCTATGATTTTCTGTATTCTATGACTTTTCTTTATGTCTTCATAAGAGTGAAGTTTCCTTTCTTAGACTATCTCATTAGATCCACATAGTAATGATTTGTGGTCAGTCGTATAAATATTATCCTCCCTTTATAGAAAAGGAGATTGAGGCTTAGAAAAGTTAAATGACATGCTAATGTCACAGAGCAAACAAAGAATTAGAAGCCAGATGGGGGCTTTTTAAATTACAGTTTACTCTTCTTTTGCTTTTTCATTGTCGATGATGATACACTCCAACATATTTAAAACCGGGCTGGTTATTTTTACAAGTGTGATCCTCTTTCAGGATTTTTCTGTTGGGGGAATGGTACCTTCATGCTTCCCATGCTGCAAGCCAGAGGCTTGATCCACTCTCTTCCTTTGGCTTCTGGGATACCCGCTGTGGTTTGGTGCTCATCTAGCTGGTCATTCTTTTGCGGTTTCGTTGTTGGTTCTTCTTGACCTCTTGTTGTTGGAGGTGACACACCAACTTTTTTTTCTCTACACCTACTCTCTTGGTGAACTCATTGATAGGCTCTGTTTGCCCGTTGTTGGAGGTGACACACCAACTTTTTTTCTCTACACCTCTCTTGGTGAACTCATTGATAGGCTCTGTTTGCCGATGACCTCTCCATTTATATCCCTAGGCCTCTCTTCAGTGGAAGATTCATACACCCAACTATGAATTCGTCAGTTCCACTGAATGTGTAATATACATCTCAGACCCAACATGTCCAAACTGAGCACTTATTCCTCACTTCGAAGCCTGCGTCATTGGTAGCTTTCATGGTTGTGATCAGTGACAGTTCTGTCCTTCCAGTGGCTCAGGCCATCATTCTTGTGCAGTTATCTCTGACTCTCCTCTGCAGCCTACGCCCAGTACTGCTGGGCCGCCTTCGCAGATAGCCAGCATGTGACCGCTTCTCACTGCTTCCACCGATAACTACCGTGGCCCAAGCCACCATCGTTTTTTGCATGATTATCACAATAGCCTCCCTCAGGTGTTTCTGTCTCCCCGTGGTCTGTTCCTGAGATAACAGGCAGAATAGTCTTCTTAAAAGCCTGTCAGAGCCTGTCCCTCCTTAACCCTGATGGTGTCCCGTTTTCAATCAGAGGAAAAGCAGGTCCTTACAGTGGCCTGCAGAGCTGCTTCCTGTTACTCACTGCTGCGCCCACCTTACCCGCCGGCCCGTTCCTCATTGGTCACCACACACTAGTCACACTCCGGTGCTGGGACCTTCCTAACAGCTGTTTCCTTAGCCTAACATGGTCTTCTCTATGATACCTGCTTAGCTGACCCTCATATCCACTTCAAAACTGTTCAGAGCTCACCTCAGTGAGCCTTAACTCGAGCGCCCTGCTTCACACTGCAACCCGCCCACCTCCTCCAGCGCGCTGCTCCGGCCCCGCCCCATGGCTTGTCCCGCCTCCTGATGTGCTGTGTGATTTACTGACTTATCTGTTACTGCTCGCTGTTTATCTCCACTGACTGGGAGGGCAGGGCTGTGGTCCTTGTTCCCTGATGTAGCCTGTGCCCCTGGAGCAGTGACTGCCACGTGCTGAGTGTTTGGTGAATACCTGTTGATTCGAATCGTTTTTTCTCTCGCCCGGAGCGTGCAGTCCACTGCTGAGCCCTGTTACTCTCGTCTCCTGGATACTTTTCGCTTTTTCCTCGTCTCTCCATTTCTGCCATCACCACCCAGTCTCCACTTCTGTTGCGTGTCATTTGGTCTCCTGCAGTAGCCTCCCCGTCGGCCTGCCTGCAGCCACTCACGTTCATTCTCTGCAGTACATCCAGAAGGTGATTTTTCAAAACTCACATCTGATTGTTATTCGCCCGTCTTAAAACATCCAGTTTCTTTCCATTGCTATTAGGGTAAAGGTGTGGCCCACAAGGTCGGCATGGCCGGCGCCTCCCTGCCTCCCTCCCTGCCTCCCTCCCTGCCTCCCTCCCTGCCTCCCTCCCCTCCAGCCATATCCTGTCACGGTTTTCCTTGCTCTCTGTTCTCTAGCCGCTCAGGCCTTTTCCACCCTCTGGACCAGCCTTGCGTTCCCGTTCGGTGGGGCCAGGCCTTCCTCTCTGTTTCCTCCACCTGGAATTGTTTGCCTGACCCGTCTGGTCTAGTCAGCTCCTACTCAGTCTTCAGGTCTCAAAACTCTCTTTGGTCCCCCAAACAGGACTCTGATTTATCCACATACCCCTCCTTAGAGTACTGGGTCATAATTACAATTTACCTATGTGTGATTATGATCATTAAAGTCAAGTCCTCTTTCCAGCCAAACTGTCATCCGTACGGGGCCAAGGCCATTGTACCTGTAGCACTTACCACAGTGGCCTAGATTAGGTACATGAAAAAAGTGTTAAATCGATTAAAGAATCAATTCTCTCTGTGGTAGGAGACCTTGTATAGTGTTCGTGAGAAATTGCTCTGCCGTGATCATAAACTAGTTGGCCAGTGGGCAGTGGCATCCGTATATAAATTTTTTCTTGTCATATATATCAATGAGTAGACTTATGAAATACAAAACATGTTTAGCTTCAAATGAATATTTGTTTAGGTGAACATTTGCTTATCTTAAATATTTACATAAATAGATTTTGGGCTTGTCTCTTTACACCAGAATTCAAAGTAATATAGTTGCCAGGTAAAGCTTCCATAGTTGTAATTTTTAATATAATTTCTTAGTATGCTTGTTCTGCAGATAAATAATCACGAGGTAGGCGGACGATGATTGGCGTGACCCATGGTGCTTCTGGTCTTGGGTCCTCTAGGTAATCTATCAAAACCCAGTGTGGTCTACGGCCATGCCACTGTGAACAAGCCCGATCCCGCCTGATCTCGGAAGCTAAACAGGATCGGGCCTGGTTAGCACTTGGATGGCAGACCACCTAGGAATACCAGGTGCTGTAGACGTAAACATTTTTTTTTAAATTAAAAAAAAATAAGGGATTGCCAACTGACAAGGTCCTTGCAATCTGTGAGGTCAACCAAGGGTTGCCTCGCCTAAAATAAATAAATAAATAAATTTTTAAAAAGATAATAAAAATAACCCAGTGCGCATGCGTTACTTTTATTTGATTGCTTGCTGTATGTAGCATTTACCATGGTTAGTGCACTGGAGAATCAATGGGCATAGATCCCGTCTTCTAGATATCAATAATCAAAGGGACAACTATTTTATGTAGCATGAGAGACATTTAACAGGAAGAAATAAGGTAAATTCCCTCCTGGAACAGATGTCCTGGCTGCAAATATGTAATTCCCTTTGACATCCCGCATTCAGAAAGTGGTTGGGTCTAGGCAAGAAGAGTTTGTAGAGCTCTTGAGGAATACAAAAGATATGAGTAGATTTGAATCAGGATTAGATGTAGGTTTCTGGTCCTGTTCTGACCTTTGGCACTATTTGGAGAACACTGCTGTTTACGGAAAAGCCGTCTGTCCCGCTGTGCTGGGGCCTTTGACAGCCGCTTTCGGAAAGGTGTTAAGTTGCTTGATTCGGACGGTCTCTATCAGTAAATTAGGTGTGCTCAAGGTATCAGATCTCTTTTCATTGTTACTTTTGTCACATAGACGAATGAAAGGACACTTCAGTAAACGTGAAAGATTAAAGTGTATCTAACTAACTTCTGTAACAAAATTAGATATTTGAGAGTATTAAGTACAAATTAGTGTGAAGTGTTTCTGTTGTTTCCAGGCAAACGGGATGGAAACTTTTTGAATAATTTATAAACTGACAGAACTCTGGGATTCAGAATGTAGCAATACCAGGTTATGGGCAAAAGTGTGTTTCTCAGTAGACTGTTTCGGTCAACTCTGCCATCCCCACGTGTGGGGCGAGCTTCTCGTAAATCAGTATCAACACAAGTTTCTTTGCAGACAAAAGAGTTTCTGATGGTTAGAAAACCATCAGATTGATTTAGCCTCTCCCTAGAAAAGACTGATCCAGCCTCAGTCCAGTCTGCTGGAAGACCAGGCTGATGTTCATAGTGTCATCTTGCGTTTCTGTCGTCCAGCCGTCTGTGTCTAGCCGTCTGTGTTTTCTCCCTTGTTTTTTATGCGGTCATGGTTAAATGCCAAGGAGCTGTGGTACAGTCCTTCTGGGGCGGGAGAGAAATATTTTTGTTTCTTTGGTTAATAATAATGATAAAGAGTAAAATAGTGTTTTCTGTCCATTTTGTTTTTTAAAATGTTATTTCTGTAACATCTTATAGAATTTGACTTAAATCCCTTTTATGATCTCTTACTAGTAGGTTCATTCTAAATCTCTCTTTTCCTCGATGTATATTTTTATTTTTTTTATCTACCTAGGACGGTACCTGTTCCTTAGACACCCAATATATATTCATGCACGCACGCGTGCGCGCGCTCGCGCACACACACACACACAGTTTAGTCAGCACTTTACCATTTCATTTGCAATATCATGGTCAAATTTTTGTTGTTGTTCATTATTTTTTTATTTGGCTAATATTATTTGAGGGCCGCTCTGTGTCAGGCATTATGCTAAGTGCTGCAGATATAATAGTGAAGAAATTGGACTGAATTTTTGTCCTTCGGGAGATGAGAAAAAGGGCAAAACCATAAAGAATTATTTTAAATTTCACAAAGTTCTGTGATGGAAACACAGAGGCTAAAATAAAGGACATGAAGGCAGCCCTGCTGCGCAGAGGGGGACCGCGCTGGGCTTCCTGAAGAGCAAGAAAGAAGCGCCCGGCATAAAAAGGGTGAACGGCACCCCAACGAGAGGCAGCAACCCGAGCAGGTTCAATACCTTGAGCTGAAAGGAGACCCCGGTGAGACCAAGGCTCCGACAGAGGGCAGAGAGCGGGGCGAAGGGCGAAGGGCGGCCATGTAGACCAGATGCTTTCACATTACTGCGAGAGCAGTCGTACCAATTCTGCTTTCGTTTTTAATTTTTTTTAATTTCTGAGGCGAGGCGACCCTTGGCCGACTTCACAGATTGCAAGGACTTTGTCAGCTTACAATCCCTTATATTTTTATTTTTTACACCTACAGCACCTGGTCTTCCTAGGTGATCTCCCATCCAAGAACTAACCAGGCCCGACCCTGCTCAGCTTCCGAGATCAGACGGGATCAGGCTCGTTCAGGGTAGCATGGCCGTGGACTCCATATCTGCTTTTAGAATTCGGCAGCATACTTAATGTCATAAGGAACAGTATCCTACCTACCAATTCTCTTTAATGCAGCGTTTAGAAATAATACACATCCTGCATTGTTTGCTAGTAGAGGAAATGTACTGAGATAGTACACAGATGATATAAATAAACTAAGTAAAGGTAATTTTTGGCATGTCTATTCTTAGTTCATTCACAGGGGATTAAAGGTAGTAAATATAAATATACCATTCCTCTTCAAAAGTCTACGGTCATCATGTTAATTGAAATGCATCAAAAAGAGTCGGTCTTATCTTTTTTTGGCCCGCCCTCTGCTCTCCCTATCCTGTGCTGTGCACGTGTCTATCTTGCCAGTTTTCTATACTGTCATTGTTATTTGTTGCTCCTTATAGGGTGCGGGTCACGTTTATCTTTTTATCTCCCTAGAACAGTGCCTGTTACTTGGGGAGCCAATAGCCAAATGAATGAATTCCTGTCTTCTACTGTGAATATGAGAATGCAGCCGAAATTAACCATTCTTATATGAGAGAGCAGAATTTGAAAATCGCGCTTAGACTCCACCCAAGGCAATCTCCCTCGGCTGGTGGTCTGAAAACCGTCTGTTTTGGTTATGATTGCGTTCTTGTACATCACTTGGTTTGACGAGGGATGCTTACAGCATTGCTGTTTCAGTTTTAGAATGTCTACCTTTCACTGTCAGCAGGTGTGGGAGCAGACCAGCTGACTCACTCGTGATCATAATCGAAGTCTGTGTAACGTTCCTGTAAACGTCCTTTGTTGGTTCAGCTTTGATAAAGCAGCCTTTGTCTCTTTAGCATAATGCACAATTAATTTTCACTGTGTTACCATCTTGCTTACAGTGGAAAAGAAGAAGGAAACAATAACAGAGTCAGCTGGTCGACAACAGAAAAAGAAAATAGGTAAGATGAGTTATTGGTATATACCATATTTAGATTTCTTGGAAAAAATACATACTCCGATGATGATGATATAATAAAGATGTTAAAGGTGGTACCCCACGTTCGTATAACTTAATGGTTTACAAAGCACTTCCAGACGGTATCTTACTTGATTCAACCATTTTGTAGGACGTGTTTAAGCAGTTGCTCCTTTTTGCTCTCAGCTGTGAAATGTCAGTTGAGTAAAACGATGTCGACCGTTGTGGCTTTTGAACTTGGCATAGTTTATAAAAGCGTTGTTTTCCTATGTGGTGTAATTATTTCCAATTAAGTCTTAGTAATTTGTATTTCTTCTTGCCACGGCTTTCTTACCAAGAAATGACCAGTAATGGAAATCACCAGGGGTAGGAAATTTTCTGCTGAGTAATTTTTATCTAGTCTGAAAAATAATGACGTGATTTTGGTTTTTGAGTGTATTTTAGAATTTAATTACAGAATGTAATTCTGTTCCAAAAAGACAACTTATAAATGATTAGGTATGATTTGTATTGATGATGCTTCCTGATTTGGAAAGCAGGAAAAAATTGTGTATTTGGTTCAGAAGCTATGTCTCTTTACCTAGGTCACCGCCTTTGTAGCCAGGAGAGAAGTCTGCCGGGCTGGACTGTGCCGCCGTCCTGTTCTGAGTTAAGCTTTTCAGTTTAGTGTATCAGATGTTTTCAGAACGGCCTGCCCACTCGGTTCCATGGCAAGATGCTGCTGTGCATCCACCTTCTGCATGTCAGTCACTCTGCGAGGCACTGGAGAAACGAAGTAGAAAAAATTCTGTATTTTAGGAGGTTTGTCTAGAGAGGGAAAACAGATGAGTGTGGTGTGCTAAGTACTTCTTTAGGGATACGTTCCGAGTGTCTTAAAGTAAGGAGGAGGTATATCCAGACCAGCCTGCAGGCTCAGGTTTTCCTGAAGAGATGATGCTTTAGCTGAATCTTGAAGCTTTAGTGTGAGTTAGCTAAATAAAAATGTAAATAAATAAAACACTCGTCAGTATTTATTGGGCACTTACCGTCCGCAACACATAAGATGAGCACTTTACATATTTTTTAATTCTCTTAATCGTGTATGTAGTACTGGCCAGGGTTACCTCATTTTTATAGCTGAAAATATTGCGGCCAAAGTGAAATAACGTGCTCTCGGTGGTTGGTGGCACAAGGGGATGAAGTCACTGGTAGAGCCGGAGTTTCAGCCAGGTCATTTATAACCGCAGACGCCACGCTTCTAAGCCCCGTATGTTCTAGGCAGAAGGATGGGCACATGCAAAAGCGTGGAGGGGTCAGACGGCCGGGACTGCGCGCGGCTCGGTGTAACCAGTACGAAGCTGTGTGCGCGGCACGGGCAGCCGAGACTAGAGCGGGGAGAGCCTAGCGCTGAGGCTCTCTATAACTTAAGCTGGGAGGGCTGTAACTCGTATCCAGAGGCCGCCCTGGGACTATTAAGGGAGTTCACCAGAGGCTTGACATCAGATTTTAAGGACGACAACCTGGCAGGAGTTTGGAGGACAAACCAGAGAGGAGATCCTTCTGGAAGAGGAATTCATAAGGCTTTATAGTGTCCCAGCGTAAAAATGGCAAGAACCTGAACTTCGGCAGTGGGGACGGAGTAGAGGGTAGGGTCAGCGATGTAGAGGCGGCAGAAGTGACAGGACCTGATGGCCGCGACGGGGGGTGTGGAGCGAGAGCGGAGGCTGGGAAGAGGCCCAGTGCTCTGATTTGGAGAGGAGGCGTCGCACATTGGTGTGGGAAGAACAAGAAGGTGGCTTCAGGCCTGAGCGCGTTGGATTTGGAGTGCCTGTGTGACGGTGGCATGGAAACATCTGGCACACAGTTGGACATATGCTTTTGGAGCCGGCAGAGAGAGAAAGGCTACAAATAGCTTCTAAATCCTATGCTTATAAATAGTATTTGCGTCCACAAGATAAACGAGATCACGCAGCGAGAGCATATAGAGTGAGCAGAGCGAAGGGCTGGGGATGGGAGTCTGGAGGAAACGCGGGTGTTTGGGGGGTAGCAGAAGGGGAGCGCCGAAAGGCCCAGCCAGAGATGTGGCAAGGAGATATGTCGCAGATGTTGCGAGGAGAGTTTCAGGGCAGGAAGGGTCTGAAGGTGGATGGTAAATACCTGAAAGGCAAGAATAGAGCTTATTAGTGATTCAGCAAGAATGATTTTAGCGGCGTAATAGGCGACAGAAGCCAGATTGTGTAGGTTTTAGAGATAATGTGTGGTGAGGAATTGAAGACACTGAACGCGAGCAGTTCTTTCAAGTAGCTTTGCCATAAAGCAGCGGTCCCCAACCTTTGTGGCACCAGGGACCGGGGCTCCTCGGAGCATCTAATGCCTGATGATCAGAGGTGGAGCTGAGGCGGTGATGCTGGCGCTGGGGAGCGGCTGCAGATCCAGATGAAGCTCTGCTCACAGGCCTGCCCGCCGCTCGCCTCCTCCGGTGCGGCCCGGTTCCTAACAGGCTGCAAACTATAGTGGTCCACAGCCAGATGTTAGGGACCGCCTCTATGAAGGACAGGATAGATAGGAAAATGCAAGGCCGGTTACCCGCGCCCTTAAATTGACAACACTGTCTGAACTCGAATTATCTTACCGTGAAATGCGACCTTGAATTGTGTGCTCACCAAAAAAAATCATTAGAAGTGAAAAGAAATATTTATGAAGAATTGCTCATCAAAATCTTATCAGGGGTTATAAGACATAATGTTTATTAGGAGCAGAGATGTGGCAAGGAGCTGCTTAAAAGACAACCTATCCATTCCCTAAATTTGTAAATTTCAGTCCTAGATTAAGCCAGACTATCAGAAATCAGTAAACCTAAACCGCGTCTTGGGGGGCTTTGCAAAGTTGCTGCCACTCTATCTTACCGTGACATCCGTACTGTTAGGTGTGTTGTGATCCACTCAGCCAGATGCAGCACATTGCAGGGCCACCGCAGGGTGTTCATCTGCAGCACCCCACGATGCTCTCCTTACGAGACATGGACGCTTTCTGTTAGTTTTCAAGGTTAAGAAAAGCAGTGACTCTCATAAATAGTTGATTTATTTTATTTCGGGGACACTGTGCTGAACTGACGTGTTTTTCTGCCCCTCCGGAGCGGCCACTGGTAAGCGCAGCGTCGGATTGGGCCGTTCATGCCCAGCCACGTCCTGGGACCAGTTAGATGCGGTTCTGTGCAGGGACCCGCCAGCAGCTTCGTTATCACCAGTGCCCGATTCTCCACTGAGCTTATTTACAGAACTACATGTGACAGTAAGGGGCCGTGAGGAACGATGCTGTCGCCCTGAAGACAGTTTTCAGTAAGGGGGGCGCAGGTCAGTGATCCCGAGAAGTGTGTCATCGACTTCCTAGGCGAAGCTCTTTGGCGGGGTCCTGGGTTTAGCCGTTAATTTGAAACTGAGGTGTCTGTCTGCGTTTAGAGGGTTGGTCCTGTTTCCCATTCTTGGTTTCTGTGGGGTGTCCTGGCTGTTTTACATCCCCTGTCGCAGGAGAGAGACCGTTTACTTTTGATGTGTGAATTTCATTTAGCCCTTTTGACTGTGGTCAGGTTACGTCAGGCAGCGAGGGATTTGTGTGAGGTGTGGCTGTGACCCCACACCCAGGAGACGCTGAACTGGCTGGGCCCTGGGAGGCACAGGTGTCAGATGCCCACTGTCCCCAGCGCCCTGCTGCTGCTGTCCTGCGGCCGCAGCCACCCGCTTTCTCCACAGGGTCTCTCGTGTCATTTCTTCCTCCACTTTGTTTCGTCACCTGGGCTCCCCTAGTCAGCGTCGCTCACAGCGAGCTCTCTAGGCCACCTGCGTCTGTATTGTCTGAGACGCTTGTTAAAATGAGGGGTTCCGAGTCCACGGTCCAGGCCCAGACTTAACCGGATCAGAGTCTCCAGCCGGGGCCCAGGAATCAGCTTTCCTGACAGGCGTCCGGATACATCCTAGGTGAACTACCGTTTGAGAAATACCGCACCGTATTTTAATTTTTCTATTTCTATTTCTGTACTCGATTTAATTTCCGGAGATTTTCTGGTTTAAATTCTTGAGAGAAGGGATCCGATTGGCTCAGCTCATCTTTTTACGCCATAGGTTGTGGGAAAGCTAGGATCGGCTGCCTTTGGGTCAGTGGTGGCAGGGAGGGCAGGGGTGTTCAGAACAGTCATAAGGCCACCTTCTACAGAGAGGGCAGTGAGAGGCACATGTCCCCGGGTCAGCACTGGCGAGGGGCCAGCATTCTGAAGCTTGACTGAGTGGGGCTGGCATCTTCTTTCTTAGAGACTTGGAACATGGGAGGACAGTTTTGAAATTAATTTATTAGGGCCTTGAATTCACGTATTTGTTCTAGGCCTTTATGCTATCTGGATTTTCCATGAGAGAAGGTTGCCTCGGGCATTTAATTTAAATTACGCTGTTTCTTCACTTCCCAATCTACATGAATTTTCAAAGGTCTATTATTATTAACTGGTCTTCCATCCAAGACAACTCGGAATGTAGAACTGTCATGGGTTACCTGACTTTTCATCTGTAGAGTGACATCTGCACTCATCGACGGAGTTAGTATAAGGCTATATGCACGGTACAGAGTTAGGACAATTCCAGAGGTAATTTTTTAAATTAAGCTTTAAATGTCGTCTTGCTGAGTGACGCTGAAACGGGAGTGCTCTTGCAGTCACCAGTCGGTGGCAGCGGCACGTCGCTCCGCGCTCAGCGCCGTGGACATTAACCGGCCCGTTTCTTCTTTCAGAGAGGCAGGAAGAGAAGCTGAAGAACAACAACAGAGACCTGTCGATGGTAAGAGCCCTACACGTAGCTTCTCGGTTAACCGCGTGGTGCTTTTCAGCAAAAGACCCTGATTTGCATCGAGTCAGCCGCAGTCACCTTCTCAGAAATGTCTCGTCTGTGAAGGCGTCAGAAACATGGGTGTTTCCGGAGCAAATGCGAGTAAAACCGCGCTCCTGGCTTAAACATCATTCAGGAATGTTCCCCCTTATGTTCGTTTTCTGCCTCTTCCTGCTGTTAGTGCTCACTCTGGTTTCATGGTGACCGGGGATCCCAGTACAGGAGCTGGAGCAGTCTAGATGGCCTTTACTGGGGCCTTTGGTTCTTTCGAGAGGCCTTCTGCTCTGAGTGTCGGGCACGCCCTAAAGAGCGAGGAGAAGCCATTTCGTCCGTTTACTCGTTACTCGTGAGGTGTAGAGCCCGTTCACGCTTATGCGTGTCCTTCTAAGGCACAGGTGGGCTGGTGGTAGGCCGACTAATTTCCTACTTAATTTTTGTACATGTAACATAGGACATCTGAGCTTTGTGACAGCTGTCTTTACTTACTGAGAGACCTTTGCTATATTTCTTTCTCTTGAAATTCTTATTAAGTTTATTATTTAGAGGTACATTTTTTACATAGCTTTTCTGTTGACATAATTATCATATGTTCACCATAGCACATTTAGAAACTACAGGAAGAAGAGATAAAAATTGCTCATAAGCCTATCATCTAGATATAACAACTTTATACTTTATTTATACTTTTAGGGCACGTGATTAAGAAAGACATTAGCTTTAAATGACAGAACACCTAACTAACGATGGCTTAAACGGATGAAGGGATTTTTTTTACTTGCTCCAGAAGTCCGGAGGGTGGTGGTCCAGGCTGGTTGGCAGCTCAGTGTGTCGTCAGGGACTCAGGGCAGCCATCCTAACTTAAGGTTGTTTGGATGTTGGGTGACGCCTTAGGTGCTACGTTCTTTGCTCCGAGCAAGAAGCACGGGCAGAAAGCCTGAAGGAATGGACGCTAGTCGTCTGTCCCTTTTGAAAGTCCTGTCCGCACTTGGACTTTTACCGATTGGCCAGAATCGGGCCTCATGGCCACCCCAGTCCTACTCCTCAGAAGGAGGCCAGGGGAAGAGCACTTAGAGACGGGGGCGGTGGGGCGTGGGCGGCTGTGTGCGCGGGCGCCAGAGCTTTGGATGTGCCCGTGTGGGCTTCCTTCAGCATGGCGCGGCGTCTGCTGGTCTCCGTACAGGTGCGCATGAAGTCCATGTTCGCGATCGGCTTCTGTTTCACCGCCCTGATGGGGATGTTCAACTCCATGTGAGTACCTCGGCGCGGCCTCGCCCGGCGTGTGTGTGCGTGTGTGTGCGCGTGTGTGCGCATGTGTGCGATGAACTATTTTGGCGATGTTTTATTTTGATACTTCAAATTTACAGAGAAGTTACAAGAGTAGTGTAGCCATTATCCAGACTCACAGCCTTACACGTTTTACTCCACTCGCTTCCTCGTTGCCGTCTCCATCCCGCGTGCTCATACGTACGTTCCTGGAGTTCCCTTCGCCATCGAGAGTACGCCGTGGGCCCCGTGCTCCTTTACCCATCGCTACGAAAGCGTGCGTTTCCTGAGAACACGGATATTCTCTTACATGACCTCAATCCAGTTATCCCAATCCAGGAAATTTAATTTCTACAGACTAGAATTACGTGAGAACTTTTTCACCCTCTTGTAGTGTAGATGTTTTCTGTCCAAGGCAAACGCTAAGGCGTTCAGAGCCTTCGGAAGGAGGGTAGTCACACACAGATGCTCGACTCACAACAGAGGGCTCACGGCTGCCGTCTTGTCTGAGGATACGGTAAGTCACTGTCATCGGCACCGGCAGGCTTGAGTGGTTGCGGAACTGCTTGACAGAGCTGGGAAACAGCCGCAGGTGACAGGCAGCCACTAACCCCGTTTCGGAGCGCCCCCCCCCCCACCCTCCCACGTGCGCAGCGTTTTCCTCACTCGCTCTTTTCCTTCCCTTCCCCCTGCCTCCCCTCCCCTCCTTCATTGCTGTCTGCTTGTCTCTCCTCCTCCCCGCAAACCCTGCACCCCCAGTCTGTTCTTCTGTCCCCATCTGTCAGGTTCTGACTTTGTGCCGGGCACTGTGCTAGGCCTGGGAATATAAAACAATAAGATGCGGCCCCTGCGTTCGGTAATAGTCAAGGTTTTAGGGGAAGAAAAGACAGATAAATACGTCGACGGATGTTCCCATAGAAATGTGTGTGTCAAGTTCCGGTAGGGCAAGGAGGCAGTGGTTACGTGTACCTCGGTGAAGACCAAAGGAAGTGTCTCGTGGTTTAGTACAGAATTTTCACCAACTAATGAGGGGCCTTTGAAGGTTAAATAACTTACCCGAGCTATGCAGAAGTCTCATAATTTCCAACTTATCGTTCTAAACTCGATACTCTTTCTCACTGCCGTGCTGTCTCTCATATCTTCAGTACGTATCACCACGAAGTATCAGGCAAACCAGACGCGGAAAGGTTTTGTAGTTAACGAGTAAGCTTCATTAGTGCAGCTCATACTCACACATTCTTACGTGCGTCACGTTCTGGATGCTGTAGAGCTGGCTCAGTGCTCATCTATATTTTTTTAATTTGATGCTCAACTTCTTATTTTTCTCATACTTCTGCTTTTTAAAAAAACATTTCATAGGTCGGCGGAGAGCGTGTGTGTGCGCGTGCACGCGTGCGCGTGCGCAGCTGTCCTCATGGGCCTTGGCTGTGCCGCGCGGCCACTGCAGCAGCTTTGAGTCCTGCTTCGCTTGCCGTTCAGCGTTTGACTTTCTTCCTCCGTGTCACGCGCAGATGGGGCCAACGAAACACTACGGAACAGCTGCGGTCGTCGCTGCCGGAAGTGACACAGCCTGTGTGCGTGTCATCCCTTTCTTAATGTGCAGCAGCCTTCCGGCCTCACCCGGCACGCACACATGCGCACACGCACACATGCGCACACGCACCCACTGAGTCTGAAAGGCTGCTTCCAATACTTCATTCTACCAGGATCCGGAAAAAATTAAGCATCACTAGTTTAGAAAAGGTCGATGGGGAAAATCTACATCCTTCTTTATGTCTTTGTACTTCAGGTTTCTGTTTCGATTGTCACCCTTTCTTTGTTTCTTAGAGATCAAGGAGCTTAAAGTTCTATTTCTGCCCCAGATTCTTTTCTGGCACTAAGAAGCTTGTCGGTCTTCCCAAAATAGCAGTTCTTTGTTTTTTCCTTTTTAGATTTGATGGTAGAGTGGTGGCGAAGCTCCCTTTCACCCCCCTCACCTACATCCAAGGACTGTCGCATCGAAACCTGCTGGGGGATGACACCACGGACTGTTCCTTCATCTTCCTGTACATCCTCTGTACCATGTCCATTCGCCAGGTGGGTGGCCACATGCACTATTAACGTGGACAGTCGTGTGCCTCATAATGACACTTGGGCCATTGGCGGACCGCATGCATGGTGGTACCATGCCGTCCAGCCCACGTGTGCAGGAGGCCGTGCCCTCTAGGCGTGTGTGGGTGCACTCTGTCACCTTCCTCGTCCTCGTCCCCTCAGCCAGCTTTTCTTCCTGTGGTACCAGAAGTGCCTGCCTGCTGCTCCAAGGTCTTTCCGGTGCTCGTTTCAGAAGTCCAGCCTGTCACCTAAAGCTGCTTTAACTGTGTGGTCCTCGGGGCAGGGAGTAGCCGTGAAGCCACACGCGGTGTCACGGCCCCTTCCCGGCCCTCGGTCCTCGGTGCTATAGCCCCTTCCCTGTCCTTCTTCGATGCAACTGCCCGAAGGTTCACAGGTAAAGACTGGGTCGGGCCGCCCGCTGTCATTTCTTCCACATGACACGCCGGCGCCTTTTGTCCCTTCAGGACTCATCTGGGGATTTTAAGTCATTCGCAGTTGGGACGAGTCTGGGCGATGGCAGTGCGGTCGGAACCCCTGGAGCGAAGGACGGGGCGGGAGTGGGTCATGGCGCCCGTCACGCCCAGACAGTCTCGAGGGCTTCACCGGTTGCGTGGCCAGCGCTGTCCCGCGCGCTCAGGCCGGTCCCGTATGCTCAGAAGCAGCTTTCTGGCTCACCGCGTTCGCTCCCAGCGCTGCCGGTCTTTCCTGTTTACCGTGGTGGAATGGACGCAGGATAGGAGTGACCGTTTAACCGTGGTCAATTGTGCAGCTTGGCGACATTGCGTACGTCCCACATCGTCGTGCAGCCATCGCCACCGTCCGTCTCTAGAGCTTTCCATCTTCCCAGACCGAAGCCCCGTCCCCATTAAACCTCCACTCTCCATTCCCCGCCCCGCAGCCCCGGCAGCCACCGGTCCAGTTTCTGCCTCATGTATCCGAGGACTCCTCTTTGCGCACGTGACCTCCTGTGAGCGGACTCACAGTGTTTGTCCTTTTGTGACTGGCGCGTTTCATGGTTCTGTCGCGTGTGTCGGGAGTCCCTTCCTTTCCAAAGCCAGACAGCGTGTCACTGTGCGTGCACCGCATCCGTTTATCCGCGCACCCGTCACGGACGCTCGCGCTGCTCCACCTTCGAATGCGGCGTATCAGTGTCCGAGTTCCCGTGTCCACTTCCTTCGGGTCCGTACCCAGAAGTGGGTTTGCTGGGTCACGGCGCTTCTGGCGTGGTCCGCGGAGGCCACACCGTCCTGTTTGGCACAGCTCCTGGCCATCTTACTCGGCACTGTTCATCTGAAGGCTGCAGAGCCCCGGCAGCCTGAGCCCGTTCCTTAAAGACTACGAGGACTTTCTCACGGTTGAGTTTCAGCGAGGGAAGCCGTAATTTCACTCATTCAGAATTAATGTTTATGCAAAACGTGTAAAAACTATGTTTTATGCAGGTTACGTCCAGCGGCGGGGGTGGCCTTGCTGGTTTTAATGGGGAGTCTTCTTACGGCGATGAGAACGCAGCACCTAGGAGAGTGACGGTCACTTCCGTCACCAGTGTCTGTAGAGCGCCCACAGTCGAAGCGATTAGGTACTTTCATCACCAGGTTTCCCGGATTTACGTTTTTAGTCTTCTCCTTGTGAGAGGTAATGACTACTCTCACATACGTCCATTGATCACACCCCCACGGTCTTAACCAGAACCCTCTTCCCTCCTAAATGCGAGCGGTGGCGTAATTCCACCAGCCAGCGCCTTCCCTGCCTACCGCCCCGTTACGAAGCAGGTGTAACGTTAGGCTGAATTGAGGTGTCCGTCTGCTCCAGTCCCTCTGCCCCCTGCCCCCTCCTTCAGAGAGCTGATGATCACATCAGCAGCGATTCCCTGATGGAGTCACCTGTTTGCTCAACATTCCTTCAAAATCGAGCGTGAACACGTATCCGGCTCCGTGCTGGGCGCTCAGCGGACGGTTGTAAACCAGACTGACGTCGGACTGTGGTCCTCGCCCTCGTGGAACTTAACGTTTCTTTTGAAATAAAAAGGTTGATTTCCCACCCGCAGCTTCACTTGAAAAAAATCGCTGCCAAATAGGAGGGAGGGTATAAGGACATTTAAAATCATTTCTGTATGCTAATCGTTCCAAGTGGAAGCAGACGAAACAGAATATTCGTTGAGTCTGGTTTTCATCTGTTACATATTTTTCCCCATTCTAGGATGTTATTGATTATATGATTCACCGTTGAGTGAAGAGCTTTCAAGGAAAAGAAATAATATCATGCTGATCATATAAGAATTTAAGACACATTTCTACTTTGAAACGGCGGGAAAGAGGAGGCATGCGTTGTAAGGTTGAGGAGATACAGTGTTCGGAGGCTTGAATCTCGCTGCCGCTCAGGCTGAGTGTCCTTGGGGAAGTCATGGAACACTTTTCACAGCGGCGAGAGGGGCTTAGTGTTCCACCTCGCCGTGTTCCGATAATCGACAGTGATCTTGAGACAGTGATCTTGAACGGAAGCAGCTGTTCTTAAGGCAACACTTCTTTTTTTTAACCAGTCCGTCCCCACCCCTGCACCCCAGGGGTATTTTTTAAATTACTTTGTTCCCAGCCCTAGACAGGACGAAATTTCTTTTCATGGATTAGAACATGGTGAGATGTCATATTAACTGAAAATACATCTGATTTTTTTTTCTCATTTTATCCTCCTCCTCTTGTTTCCTTCCTCAATGGTTAGTGATTAATGATTAGCTGTCTTGACCTTCACCTCACAGCTGCTTCCTTTGTGTGAATTCGTAGCAGCGGAAATGGAAGGTTGGCCAGCTTCCATCGGAGGGGACCAGTGAGTGCAGGTAGCGAAGAGGTTTCCTTAACCCCTGAAACAAGGAGACTTGCTTCTTTTTCCTTATCATGAGTCAGCGGTGGATTGAGCACATGGTTGTCTCCTCTACGTGAAGTGCTCTAAATCTCAGTAAAAATCCCGGCAAACTTAGCTGATAAACAGCTAGGGGAAAACTGGTCTGTTTTATAAATTTATATGATTTCCTATCATCGTAAAAGCTATAGACAGAATTCTCTTTTCTTGGAAAGCAGAAAGTATTAGTGGTTCTGAGGAAATGTTGTTTTTTTGTCGCTCACATCTTAGTATATAACTTTGTTTCATTGTTTTCTTAGTATATAACTTTGTTTCATTGGTTTTTTTTTTGTCGCTCACATCTTAGTATATAACTTTACGTACGTATGACCGTAATCTAAAGAAGGTCAGCGAGCATTTGACATCGTCTCCTTCAGCAGGCGTATGTGTGCTCAGGACGGTGATAAAAATAACTTTCACTTTTTTCTCACACTTCTGGCTTTCCTAGGGAAGCCTAAGCATTTCGATATGCCCCGTATGTGTTTAAAACCTGGCCCTAATAATGTCATGTCAGGGTTTCTGAAAGGCATCAGAATGCTAGAAGGACCAGATGCCCGCCATTTCCTCTGCCTCCTCATTAATTTATGTCACTTTACTTAAGGTTTAGAACATAATTCATTAACGTCAGTGCAGCTCATCTCCAAGCAGGGTCTGTTCATTTGTGATATTTAACTCTAGATCGGTTTGGAAATGCTCGTGGTTCAGAAAGTGATAGCTAACTGCTCATGGAGAGGAACAGGTTCTTCAGGCATCTTAATCTGATCCTTCGTGAATTGTTTCGGCGCCCGCCTTCAAAGCTTCATTTAGGATGTTCTCTGTCATAGCTGAAGATTGATTCGTCTTCGTACCATGCCGGTGATTCTCGGATGCTGAGAATACAGGGGCCAAAAGCATGGTGTCACTACCCTGTGGAACTCAGTCTGTGGGAAAACAGACCCATAAGTAATTGCAGTGCTTGATCCCTGTGTGTGTGTGTGTGCACACGCACATGTGCATGTGTACAATATGGTGTAGGAGGGAAAAACACGCTGTGGGCACGTAATGGCTACAGAGATTAGTGCTGTGGACATAAGATTTTGTACAAAAGGGACATTTGAGGTGTATCTTGGAGCGTGCGTAGGGGTTTTCAAGGGCCATCAGAGTGGTCTTGGCACAGGAAGCAGCACGAGTAAGAGCGTGGAAGCTCGAAAGCGCGTCACGAGTGCAGGGACCTCTGAGCCCCGAGTCGCTCGTGGGCGTCACAGGAGATGAAGCATGTCACTGCTCCACGTCTGCCTCCCAGGACAGCCTTAACTGGCTTCTTTTCCTTATTCTGCAAGTCTGCCGGTGACAAAGTCTCTTATTTTCATTTATCTGAAAATGTCTTTATTTTATGTGCATCCTCGAAGGATATTTTCTCTGGACATAGTCTTCCCGGTAGGCTGTTTTTGTGTGTTTTCACATTTTCAGCATTTTAAAATGCCTTTCCCGTCTCCTCTGGCCCCCTCTGTTTCTGCCGAGAAGCCTCGCACACCCTTTATCCCTGTAGATCAGCGTCGCTTTGCTCTGGCTGCTTCCTGATTTTCTCTTTCAGTTTGCTTCTCAGCAGTTTGGCTATGATGTGTCGAGGATTTAAACAATTTTTTTTTTTTATTCTGCTAGGTTTTCATTAAATACGGGAAAATTTCAGCCACAATTTCTTAAAATGTTTTTTCTGCCCCATTTTTTCTCTCTTATTCTTCTGTGATTCCAGTTATCCATTAGTCTTTTTGATATTGCCTAACGTGACCTTGAGGTCCCGTTCAGTTTTTAAGAATCTTTTTCTCTCTTTTCTGTAGATAGGATGATTTCTCTTGATCTGTCATCAAGTTCACTGACTCCTTTGTCATCTCTAATCTGAGTTCACTGTAAACCCATATAATGATTTTTAAGTTTTGATACCATATCTTTTAGGTCTAGAATTTTTTTTTTTTGGCTGTCCCTTTTCCCTGCTGAGATTTCCTATTTATTCATTTATTATGAACATTTTTTTTATGTCCTTAGGCGTAGTTATCTAACTGCTTTAAAAACCTTGTCTACTAATTCCGACATTTAGATCATCTCAAGGCTGGACTCTTATCTGTTGCCCGTTCTCTTAAGTATGTGTCATGTTTCCTATTTGTCGATATGTCTAGTAATTTTAGGTTGTATCTTGGACATTGTGAATGATAAGTTTTAGAGACTCTGGATCCTATCATTCTTTGGAAGAGTGTTAATGTTTGTTTGAGGAGGCAATTAACTTGATGTTCAAACTCAATACTCTGTCACGTTTCAGGCAGCACCTGAAATCTCAGTCATGTTAGTCTTAGCCAGGCTGCTTGGAGACTGCCTCACACACGCAGAGTTTGAGGCTCAGCCAAAGATTTGGGCATTGGTTACATATAGGATTTTGAACCCTCCCCTGTTAGCTCTCTATTTTCCAGTTTTCTTTTTCTCAATTTTAAGGTGCTCTGGTTGCCCTAATCCCTGTCCTTCGGTTCTTCAAGCCAGTAACTGTACAGTTTCATTCTCAGTTGTAGACACCCTGCCTAGTGCCACCTGGGCCCTGCCATCCATTATGAAATTTAAAAAATAATAAAACATCTTGTCGTCCTTCACTGAACTAGAATTCAGAACATTCCCCTTGACTGGTCCTCAAATAAGGGGCTAAACCAGAGATCTAGGGAGTTTTTCATTGGAAGGATGGATGAGAGAGACAGAGATTGATTGTCACTTGATCCCCTGACACTCCCCTCCCCCTCAAAAAATGACCTTCCTTACAGAAGAGGCCTTTGGACGACGTAGGACAGAAAATATCCATTCAGAATTACAGTGTCCCCTAGTGCGGGTCCCGTTTGCCCATCCTCCTTGCAGTTTTGATTTCCACTTTGCCAGGTAGAGTTGAAGTCTGCGGCATAATTTTTTACAATGTAGACACGTTCTACATTGCCACAGGGGACTGTATAGCTCTTTGGAGGTGTTTATTGGGGAGGCTTGCAGGGCCCAGCAGGGGGACCCAACCCTATTTTGTTTGTTTTCTGTATTGGGTTCTTGCCTGAGATTTTGTTGAAAGAAAGGATTCTGTGGTTTGAAGGGTCTCACTAGATCTAGTGAGCCCTCTCCGCACCTTGTTTTAAGGGTAAGGAAATTGAGATTTGGTGAAGTAAAAAGACATTTCTTATTATTTCGTCACCCAGTTTGCCAGTACCGGAGCTTAAATCTTCTGATGTGCTACCCAGTCATATTTCAGCTGTGCCAACGTCTTATTGCCATTTTTCTTCAGTAAATATTTAATATTTATGTCGTTCTCCCAAACTACCTATTCAGATGTCGTGCGAAAAGCCTGGGATTGTTGGATGGGGCCATTTAAGGTGATTGGATTCTCACGCAGTTTGTGAGTATAGTAGAGATACGAGAACTCGATGAGAAATTGTAATCGATCGTAAGTGAAGTCTGTTTGCCATATGCCAGAGAAACGAAGGGGGAACCGGTGACCGTCACGGCTGTTATTTTAGCTAAATGACTAAGGAATAAAATATAGAAGAATATGTTCATTGCCAATGACCTGGGTCTTCCCAAAATATCCAGTTAGCAACCAACAACTTCCTTTTCTTGATCACAGGTCCTTATCCTTTGCAAAGAGGAAGGAATGCGAATCCGGCAGTGGTATTTTTTGGGGTTTCCTGCCAGTAGAGGGCGTGGTTACGGGAAAATGTTTTTCCTTTGTTTTCCCTTCTGACTTATTAATACTCCGGTTGTTTCCCTAGTGCACAGGACTGGACAGAAATTCAGAAGAATCGTTTTATGTTTTTCCAAAACCCACGTTAAGTGTTCTTCTACGTCATCTTTATGATATATTAAAACCCCTGTCTTTTAGCAAAATTTACACTTCTAGCTCTCGCTAATTAAGGCCTGAGGAGGGCTGAGAGACCGTAGGATGGCAGTCAGGTCGGGATCAGTGGCGGAGGCTGCTGGAACGTGTAGAGCAGGTGACAGGTGTGGAAGTGCCTGCCCGGGCGCTGGGGCTCAGTGAGCACTGACGAGCAGCCTGATGGTGGAGCCCCTTTTCTTATCTGCACATAGGGGTGCCGATCGGCTCGTTCACTGAGTTGTGAGGATTTAAATAAGATAATATACGTAAAGCGCTTAGAACAATGCCTAGCATCTGGAGATGGCGCCAGAGAAACGTTTGTCTTTATTTTAAATTACCCTGTTTAGGAAGGTTGGAAGCCAAAAGTGAGACAATTATTAATACCATTAACCATTAATATTAATAATTAATAATTAACTATTATTAATACAGCTGTTATTTTTCCAGATGTCCTTGCAGTATTCGTTTATGTTTTTTGTAAACTTTATTTTTTAGATCGGTTTTAGGTTCACAGTGATGTGTTTATCCATAGTCTTTGTAATCATGATTTAAAAAAAAAAATGAGCCAGGCCTATTTTAAAGATTTTTATTCCTGAGATAAAGGTCTGTGAGAGGATGGGGCTCGGTAGGGGAAAACTGTCCTTGAGTTTTAGGGCACTTCACACCCTGACTGTGACCGCTCCACTTCGGCTCTCTTGTCCCTAAAGCAGGGATGACGGCCGGCTGACACCTGGTCCTCAGAACCGTTTGTAGACTTGGCGGCAGCTATTCCAACAGTGTCCTGTTATTTCAAATTTTATCTTTCGAGTCATTTCCCATAGTGCCCTGCTAAGCCCTGAACAGGCGGTAAGTGGCGCGTAAATCCTGATGAAATGCAAGACCTCGGATGAGTGTCGCCGCGTCCTTGGTCTTCTTGCTGCTTTGTGTGTGCAGCGGATTTTCCAGAGGGGACACAAAGCCGTTTTCATTCCGAAGGTGACATGGTCATTGTCCAGCTTTACCGGGGAGAAAGAGCCTCACCTACTAGGGCTCGATTTTTGTTCTTAACTATTTTCAGATATTTTTTTTAAGGGAAAACATGAGCCATAGTATTGTGACTACATAAGAAAGTAATTTTATGGCAAATATAATTTCAGTGGATTCTCGAGGTGGTGTCTTCGTATTCTGTCACATTCCGTTATAACCTGACAGCATTATATTATCTCAGAAGAACAAACCCTCGCGTCGAATCAGCCATCATCTTAATGATGCAGGGTCAGGAGCGCAGCTCAGGGGAGCCTGGCTGTGAGTGTCAAGCTGCCTGCTGTGCGGTCGGCACTCGGTAACTACTGAATGACAAATGCAGACATGCCCACCTGCCTACCGTGGGGCGACTGTTCTCAAGACCACAGCTCTAACGTAGGAGGTACCGTGTGACGGAACCCATTAGATCAAGAATCAAAACACATGGGTTTTAATTCCAACTGCTCTTCACTTCACTTTGTAATTTCGGACAAGCCAACGGAGTTTTCCAAGGTTTTAATTCCTCAAACTTAAAATGAAAGAATTGAGCAGGGTTAATCAGATGACCTTTCCCATTTCCCGATGCTGTACAGAATCTTAGCAGCTGACCTTGACTCCACGGTCCCGTGCCCTCTCCCTCCGTAAAGCATTGCGACTAATCCCACGTCACGCTGTCCACTCATGATAGCCTTCCAGGGGTCCGCTGTGTTTATCCCCAAACTGTTTATGTGGGTTTTCCTTGCTGTATTTATGTAATTTAGTTTAATTTAATGTTATACTGACTAACGAAATCCGAATATAAAAACGTTTTTTTTTTGAGGACCAGTTCAACAAAATGTTTCGAAAAATAGCTGTCGAATTAGATTTAAGTGAGACAACTGAAAAAGATGAGGGAAGGTGCTCAAAATCTAGAATTCTGGACCCAGATCACTTCTAAGTTCTCTCATTTCTTTGAAGAAATTGAACCCGAATATTTCAGTTTTAGAGGAAACGGTGCAGTAGTGACGAACCCCGTGCAGAAAGCCGTGCTCAGGGAAGGGGCTTTGCTTCAAGACGTAGCTGATGAGTGTACTGTAAATGCTTCGCGTTAAAATAAGTTACCCATTTTTATGCTTCTCCACTTTAGACTGCAGTCCCATCAGGTAAGGGGGCCTTTACTGTTCTGTGGTCTCTGCAACGTAGTAGGCCTTTTAAAAAATGACAGCAGTGATCATCCTATTTCAGGTCGCAGTGGCACTTTGAATTTGTGTGGCTTTTCTTCATATGGGATCTATGTCAAGCACTCTTCTGTGTCTCACATTAAAACCCAGTTTTTATTTTCCTCACAGAACATCCAGAAGATTCTTGGCCTTGCCCCTTCGCGAGCTGCCACCAAGCAGGCAGGTGGATTTCTTGGCCCTCCACCTCCGTCTGGGAAGTTCTCTTGAAATCAAGAAGAACCCTGTACTTCCTGTCTTTTTTTTTTTTTTTTTAAGATATTCAGATCAGACTGCCAACTGCTTTGTAGCAAGAGCCACAGACAGTGTTAGCGTGGGGGCCACTTTCTAGTTTTGAGTTGTTTCTAAACTTTCTGGGTATGATTTGAATGAGAATGGCATCAGACAAATCACCATGGCAGTGCTTTCAGTCACAGATAAATGTTTTTTAAGTAAGCGTGTTGATTAGAGAAGTTCAGGGATGTTTATGTAATGAGAAGCAGCCTTCTAGTTTTGCTTATGCAAACATTTCCTGTGGGACCGACTCTCAAAACTGCTGTGTGCCATGGAAGCTAGCTCTCCAGTCTGAGCAGTTAGCGATCCAAAAGAAAATTTTAGTTGTTTAGTCAGTTAGTGACTCTTAATCGGAACTATTTGTGGTGTGTGTGTTTTTAAGTCAAATACGTGACCCATGGTCAATAAAGAGGCCAAAATTTTAGCTATTTCATCTACAAGGAGAGATCTATTTTGTTTTACCGTATTTCTAGATACACGCTTTTAGTACTCTGAACGTAAAGGTAAACATTGGCCAGGAAGGGCTGAAATAAAAGTCTTTAATGTCGTATGCTATCATGTTTGTCTCATCTGCTCAAGATACGGAGTTATCCGGTTGTAGGAATTGGAAAACATAAGCGGAAACGAAATGACTCATGGGAGTATAAAAACGGGGGGTCCTCGGCTGTTCCCCTCGTACCCAGTGCCGCCTGTTGGGTTTTTGCGAAGGCACTCTTTGAAAGGCTGTATTACAGAAGAAATAAAGATATCACAGCGCAACAATGTAAATTCAAGGAGATACGAAGACACCACAGCCTCACAATTAGTTTTTTTTAATTACTTGCCCTAAAAAATTTCAAGACTAGTCACTTGGACAGCATTCTAGAACCAGACCATCACTGAACTTTTGGAGATGACGTTTCAAGCCAGAGAAGCCTCCGAACATTTCTCAAAACACACGACTTGGCTCCTTTGCTTATGTAGAGGACAGACTGTCCCCTTTCTAGGTTAAAAAACAAAAAACAAAAATCAAGCGTTATTAACACCTGCATCAGGCTTGTACTGGTAATAGGCTAAAAAAGTGTTTTAAAAATGCAGGTAAGCCTGAATTTCTTAACAGATAGCATTCTGACATCTAAGCCAGGTGCAAGTCGGAAGGCACCTGTATGTAGATGCTCACGCCCTTAGCTGGGGGGTGGCCCCCTGCTCCCGTGGGAGAGGTCGTCCTTGGGGGTCGGGGGGTGAGCATGACGGCAGTGGCCTGAGCGTCCGGAGCTCCCACACATCCGAACCCGAGCCGTTTCGCCATCTGCGAGACATAGCGGGCTTTTTCAGTATGCTTAGCGCTGTATCTCAGTACTGCCTTTCAGTTCAAGTAAAAGCACCATATACTTTCTCCTCTGGTTTAAAAACATGGAATCTCAGTACCATCGACACATCTAAAAAAAGTGACAGTTTTTTGATATCAGAAATCATAGATGTCAAAACTCTTTAGATTTTTTTTTTTTTTAATGGGGAGCCAAATAAGATAACTATATTACAATCGCTAGGTAAGCATTGCAAATCTCTTCCACTCTGTGGTCATGGTTTTTAGTCTGGAGCCTTCAGAATTGCCTAGAAGGCCTGTTAAAACGGACTGCCGGCTCCACCCAGAGCTGCTGCTTCTGAGTCTGGCGGGGCTCGCGAATCTGCACTTCTGCCAACATCCAGGGTAACGCTGAGGCTGCTGGTCTGGCGTCTGCTCACGCTGTATCCCATCCCTCTCTTCCTCCCTTGCAGTTTATTCAAGAAACTGCGTTGTTCATCCCGCTGGGTTTTCCTCCCTTCGGATTGCATGCTTGCTTTCCATACTGTGCGCTGTCTCTTTTTGATCCATTGATTAATTAGGGATTGAGAAATGATGATATTGTAATTCTAGTGTCCCTTCATTTTTTAGGTAAAATACTGCTGTAAATAGAAGCTTCCTCTCATCTACTGTTTGCTACCTAGTGGTACGTTTTTTTAGAAAACACAATAAAGCGCTCAACTGTCTAGTTTTCAAAACAATGAGTTGTTCACTAGTATCCAGTGGTGAGTGTGTGTGTGTGTGTGAGAGAGAGAGAGAGATTAGCAATTCACAGATGCAAACATACTTGATTCACTTTACTGAAGTCATTTTTCTCGTGGATGCTCAAATTGTCCCATTTTCGGCCAGTGAGACGCTTCTTATGTTGTCCCCTGGGTCCATTTCACATGACCCTGGTTGTCATTGGTGGCATCTTCGCCAAGTGATACGATAGGATGTTCAGGGCAATCTCACATTTCCTGCCAGGCACGAAAGCAGTACTTTCTCGAAGGAGGCCTGGTCCTCTCTGCTGGTGTTTGCGGACCGAGCAGTGAGGGTGCTCCCTGGACCGTGGACTAAGGTAATAAGTTTGGTTTTTGTTTTCAGATGAAACACATAAATTAATATTGGTGCTCCACTCCCCGCTTAAATCAGGGCTACAGATCTTTTACTTAATTTCTTTGATCTGTGTCTCTTTTTATCCCCTGCTAAGAATTCTAGTTTAGTGTATCAGGAATGATAGAATATCACATAATTGCTTCTGAACATAACCCCAGAGTGTCCACTCCACAGTCTCGGACCATCCACGCCAACATTACGCCCCACGGCGCGATGACTGAGGGCAGTTTGCTGTTAGGAGTAGTTGGCGGCGGGTGTGCTTTAGGACATACCCCAATACTGAGATTTCAGGTTACCTGCTACAGTTTCCTTTCTGACTTGATGCCACCAACTGGATAAATATCTATTTGCACTCATTTGTGTGATTTTATTTTCAACTTTTAGGCCATGCTCTTCTATCTTTTAATTATTAAAAGTGACATGTAATGTTTTAATGGTTTCTGGGCTAGCCCACAAAAACATATTTAACCTACATAGAGATGGCCCCCTAACTACCCATGATCGCACTTTTATGAGTGTCCCACTTAGAAGCCCCAAAATGTGTGGAAAGATGGGCAGGCAGCGAATAGGACCGGAAACCGCTCTAAGTCAGTAGTGGGGACGGCGGGGGCACACCCTGCAGTGACATCGCTCCCTCCTACCTGCACTTCCTGGATAAAGCGGGGAGACCAGGGGCACACCCTGCAGTGACATCGCTCCCTCACTCCTACCTGCACTTCCTGGATAAAGCGGGGAGACCCAGTGGGAAGAGAATACGTGTGGGGGCGTCTCCAGCTCACGCAGGTCCTCACGGCTGTCCCCTTCATTTCCCTGCGGTGGCTCCCTGGTCGTCTGTACTCTGGTCTTGGCAGTCATCTTCCTAATATAAACCGGACTTTGTTGCTCCTCCAAGGAAAGTCACTTGATGGCTCCCAGGGGCCTTTCAGTAAATGTAAACAATTTAACACAGAAAATCATTCCAGTCTGGATGGCCAGCCTCTCCCACCCCCATCCCCTTCCTTCCCAAGCTCCAGACCAGCAGATTCATTTTGTAGATCTGCATTTTCATGTTCTTTTTTGGACTTTAAACTTTTTTCTCTGCCTGGAGTGTTCTTGCTCTCATTTGCCTGGTTTTCTCCTGTTCCCTTCTGGTCTTGGCTCAAGCATCACCTCATAGATGTTTTCTCTGGTCTTTACGTGGCTGGGCTAAGTTTCTCCTCCCTGTATTTGTGTTCGAGATTCTGAAATATGAGTCACATAAAAAATGGGCAAGTCTCTTAACTCTAAGCCTCGATCGCCTCACCTGGAAAATGGGGTTCACACTCCAGTCAGAGCTCCCCCCCGCACCGTCCACTCGAGTCTTCAGATGGAGCCTCTCAGTTGCGCCCTCAGAGCATGGTGACCGATGCCCCCGCAGTGACGCCCTCAGCCAGGCCGTGCGCTTCCGCTCCCACAGGGGGGCTGTGGAACGTTACTTGTTTTACTTGTTAATTCGAATTATATACATGGACTAAACGTTATGTAAATTAGTGAAATGTGAATGCAGAAAGAATTGCTTCAATGGAAACTAATTTGAATGACTCAATAAAAGCAAGTGGCTAAAATAATGCTTTGACTTACATGTGGGTGAGATGACAGACTGAAAAAAGTAACACAAATTTAGAAAGATCCAGCACACGTATCCTTAACGTTTTAGTTCATGCTCCCCGTTGAAGAAATCAAAACTGGAAGTCAGAGGCGATAACATTTTGGTTTTTAAAAAACAGTTTAGGAAAAGCATCCACCATGAAACATGGGGTTTTCACCATCACGAATTCTGTTGAAATTTTTTCAGTTTTTGAAAACTTTAGTTGAGTCGCAGATGTTTGAGTCTGTTGTATTACTGCTAAAAACTGTTCACAGAAAAGTAAAGATTCTTTTGAATAAATGAGCCAGTCGCGATGACAAAACAAACACGCAAACAAAACCAAACCCACAACCCAAAAAGGTGATACATTTTGGGTTTGCTATACGTAAAAAAACCAAAAACAATAGCAGCAAAAAATCCATGGGACCCCAAAACAGGAGACTCGCACTCAAGGAAAGAGCCATGGCCCCCGATCCAAAGCGAATGTGTGTGTGTGTGTGTGTGTGTGAGAAAATTGTCAGAAGTACACAGGAACTTTTTTTTTTGTAATTCGAGTCTGTAATTGACTTTAAGCTATAAACTCCTTGTTCTGGTCGCATCAGTTAAATGTGTTTTTACCCTCTGTTTTCTGTGGATTTTATAAAGCCATTGATGTGCCCAGCATATCGGAAGCATGTGATCTTCACACACAGCAATCCTGCAGGTAGACAGGGTGTTTTCTTATTACCTGATTTTACACGTGACAGATGAGGTTCTGAGACTCTAAGCGATGTACCCGACCCCACACAGTGGTGGGTAGAGCGACGTTGCAGGGTCCATGCTCTTTTGCGGTAGCTCCCGGTAGGACTGACCACCTTGGAGCTAAAATGTAAGGTGGCTGAACTGTAACCCTCTCTGGGCTTGTTACCCCGTACGCAGGACATGTTGCAGTCCGCAGAAGTATCATTTACTTGACTGTCAGTGTCTCTATTCTCTCTGTTTTTAAAAACCTTCACCGCATTCCTATTTTACCATCTGAATGGTGTATATCCTTAGACTTTTCGAATCATAAAAAATTTTAAATCATTAAATCGATTAGAAAGTTCTCCAGCTGTCACCGGATGAGTGTGGAGGAGGGTCAGCGTAGGTCTACTGAAGATGGAGCCTACATGCATTTTTTTAATCCACAAAATTATATTTGGACCAAAGCCCATCTGGTTGCTCACGAATATAATCAAAGGCCTTTTTTTTTTACACAGTGATTTTTAGGTTTATAATTAGCTACTCCAACCATTTGCTGAACAGTCAATTCGATCATAAACAGAGATAATATCAAGAAGGTTGGGAAAAAAAAGGTTGAAAAAGCCTGAAATCTGCTTGCTCTGGTGATAGACTGTTCCTTTCTAGAGGAAATTTTGTATTTTTAAGCAAGACGGGGCGTTATTTAGAGCAGTAGTTTTCCTTATTGCAACTCAGATACAGAATTTTCATAACAATGTTTACCTCCTATATGCACTCTGGTATTTTATTCTATCTCATTTTCCAAAATGTAGCTGCACGGGACCTTGAAGACAGCTTAATCACATCTGGGAGCTGCTCCTGTTTTTCACGGCTCCCAACCCCTCCGCACCCATCAAGGGAAGAATGATAGTCCACCGCCCCTTCCCTGATTCGGATGAGCCTCCTCCATACTGGCAGGAAAAAGAATAAAGGCTCTTGTTTTCTTGGGGCTTAAAGAACTAGGAAACCTGTTCCCAGAAGATGCTCATCCTGCGCAGTGCTCATGGCTGGATCTGGGCACATGTTGGTCCCCAAACCCACCAATGCCGAGAAGAAGATGAGCCTGACTGGTTTGTCCGGTCATGATCTGCCCTGGTTGTAGGAAGGGGGCGTTCGACACGTCAAAATCGGGGCGCTGCCAGCCTGGAAAGGGGGAGAAATGGCTTTTGAGTGGAAGACAAATATGAGGAGTATGACAATAATTTGGAGTGGCCAGTCAAGGTAGAAACGCGCTGCCAGCCAGGCAATCAGGCCCTTGGAGGGTCCTCAGTCGCTCTTATTCTGTATCTTGCTATTTGCTGCCACCTGGCGTCCGGTAGTTCTTCCCGTCGTGACCAAGTATCCAGCCTCAAGTACCGGGAGACCAGAAAAAGCAGCTCGGTGGTGAAGATTTTGAAAATGCAATGTACGCTCGAAACTGTGGCCCTCATTCTTGAATCTCTCCCTTGTAGGTTTGCTTATTCTACTTTATTCTTTAGGCTCCTCAACTACTGCTTGCGTGCGAGTGCCCCCTAGTGATGGTAAGTGGTCCTGCCGACTCCTTAGGAAATGAAGGACTTTGTTCTCCAAGCCATCTGTCCTCGGACTCGGAGGCAGAGACAGTGGGCCACACACTGAGAGGGTTCTAGAACGGGCACTCCCCCTGTGGTTCAGCTTGAAGACACAGACCTCGTAAATGCGCGGCAATTACTACACTTCTCCATTCCTAGACCCTCCTTCTGCCACTCTCCAAGCCCCTCGATGTCCTTTCAGGAAAAAAAAAATTTTTTTTTAAAGTTTCCCCCTTGACAAAGCAACCAACCTTAAAAATAGGAACGAAAGAGAGCGGGTGGACCCAGGAGTATCCCCCTTATCCCTGCTGGTCGCCTCCCCACGGTCTTCCCTCCCACCGCACATCTGCATCAGCCTGGCCCCTCCCCCGCTCCAGCCTCCGTTTGTCTCAGGCTCTCCGCGCGTCCGCGGCAGCGCGCTTCTTTGCAGACTTTCCTGCATCCCTAACTCCGGTCCGGTGGCGTCCCACCGGGGAGGCCCCGCCCCTCCCATGGGACCATGGGAGGCCCCGCCCCTTCTACGGGCCCATGGGAAGCCCCGCTTCTCCCATTGGCCCACGGGAGGCTCCGCCCACGGGAGGCCCCGCCCACGGGAGGCTCCGCGTCCAGTGTCCCGCGCCGCCTGCTGGCATGCTCTTCCCGACCCGCCTGGCGGCGCTTCCCTGGCTTCTCCGCGCTCTCGGGCCTGCTCCTGTCGCCGCCATGAGAACTGGCACCTTCGTCGTGTCGCAGCCGCTCAACTTCCGCGGCGGGGCCCGCGTGGAGCCGGCGGACGCCTCGGGCACCGAGAAGGCGTTCGAGCCGGCCACCGGTAACAGGACGGGGCCGGGCGGGGTCCGCGCGGGGACCGCGGGGCCCAGGAAAGGGAGGAGCCGGCGCGTGGCGTGCTGGGGTCGGAGAGCTCGTCCAGCGGCCTGGACGGCGTCCGCGAAGCCCCGGTGCGGGCCTCGCGCCGCCTTAACGATTACGCCGTGAAGCGAACCGGACGCTTCCAGAAGCGAGCGGCGGCGGCAGCAGCTGTGCGCCGGGGACGAGCGTCGGCGAGGACGTGGCCGCCACTCCCGGGGTGGACATATCTGCAGGGGACCCGCAGCTGGGACGAGAAAACGTCCTGCTCTCTCGCCCCAGCCCAGCGCTCGGCGGCGCGCCAGGCCCTGCGTTTGCCCAGCGAGCAGAACCAGCGAGGAAGAGGGCTTTTGTGTTTTGGTTTGCTTTGCTGTGCTTTGCTGGGTTTTGTGAAATATCTGTGGGGAGAAAAATGTGAATGTTTTACACAAACCAGAATGGCCGGCAGCCAGGGCGAGAAGACTTGGATTGCAGGGCTGTTGGGGAGGAAACATGGACGGGTCACACTTGGGGAGGGAACATGGACCGGTCACACTAAGCCACAGAGCGTCAAGTAAGCAGGAAGAGGCCGCAGAGGTCAGCCCTGTCCTGCGAGAGGAAACATTCCCTTAACGGGGTCAGCGACCCTCACGTAGAGTTAAGAACTGCTGTTGTGGGGTGGTCACTAAATCTAACCACACTTAAAAACAAAGAAGGGGCTCACCGCCAGGAAGTGTGAATACATGATATGCCGTTTAAATGTGTGGCCACGGTGTGAGCTAACACTGGCTGCCTGTCTCCATAGGTCGTGTGATAGCCACTTTCGCTTGTTCTGGAGAAAAGGAGGTAAATTTGGCTGTGCAGAATGCCAAGGCTGCCTTTGAAGTATGGAGTAAAAAATCTGGCATGGAGCGTGGTCGAATCCTTTTGGAGGCTGCCAGGATCATTAGGGTACGTTGTGATTTATTCTCTTCCAGAAAAGTCTTACTCGGAGGGATCTTGGTGACAAGTTGCAGTTAGATTCTGCGGCACTAGTAGTGTTTACCTTCTTCCTGAAGCCGAAAAGCACTTCCATCCGCCCTGCCCCAGTCACTCCCACGGGATGTAGGCTCTGTCTGTGTTTGAGTTACAGAGTGTCCTTTGCAGGTTATCTCGTTTTCTTTTGAACTATGCACTTTGTTCTTTTTCCTCTGATGACTCTAAAGCCTGCTTTTTCCAGATTTATCTTCTACCTTAATTGCCTGGGAAGACTTCATAGATGTCCCCCTCTTAAAAAACAAAGTTAAACTTTTTGACAGTCTTACAAAGGAAACGTACTAGATGCTCATTACAGAAAATTAGAAAATTCAGAAGGATATGCACCGAAGGATATTCCTAAATCATGGCTGTCTCTGCATGCTAGATTTGTGGGGATTTTTTTCTCATAAGTCGTTAAGTCAGAAACTACAGGGGCTGAGAGTTCCCCTACTCGCAAGGGTTTACGTGTATTCCGACCGGAGACACGAGGCTTTCTGGGTGAGAGAAAGAGATGCTGTATTACTCACAGCAAGCACATGGGCCAGAGCAGCGCCTGAGCCCCGTCCCCACTGGCGATACAGGGAGAACCAGGGGTTGCCCCACGGGAGGGGAACCCCCAAGTTAGGAGAGTCGGCTTGCGCAGGAGATGCTGCAGAGAGACCGCTCACTCCGCAGGTCTCCATGGTGCCCATGTCACTTGTTCATCACCCTGAATGCCAGTACTAGTCTCCAGGACCATGAAGTAGAGAGCCTCGACTCTCCGCGGAGGTCTCCGCCTTCCGAGGGCTGTGCTTTCCGACCCGCGCGCCTGCGTCTTTGGCCTGGGAAGGCTGGACCACACAGAAGTGCCAGAATGCTCACAGAGCATTTTCTCCCTGCTGTTAAAATTTTATTTTCAATTTGATAGACCAAAAGTGATAACTCAAAGCCAATCATTTGTTATTTTATTTTTCACTTTTTCCGAGTGCATAAACATTTGGGTTGTTGCGTTTTCTTAAGAATTGGCTTCTTTATTATTATAAAATGATTTTTTTATGCTGAATAATATCTAATATGTTTTTGCTCTGAAATGGACTGTTCGATATTTTCTGTTCCTCCCCTCCTTGCCTTTACTATCTATGTATGATATTATTAGGCAAAAATATATTGGTACTAAAGTTTCTGTCTGATGTTCATGCCCCAGACCTGCCTTTACCACCATTTACCCCATTATATATGTTCACACATACATATATGCGAACAGTGGGCAGAAAATTATCTCTGAGGACTGTTTCAAAGTTTCAGCTGTCAGAGGAAATTCAGTTTACTGGCTGGTCTTTTGAGATTTTTCCCGTCTAATTCTATCATTCTCTGCCCTCACAAAACAAAAAGGTTATTTCTAAAAGATCAGTATGAGATCTTTTGATACAAGGATCATTCAAAAATGTCCCCGACAAAAACTAGCAGAGAGTCCAACTTGGTGTCCACTGAGAGCAAACACTCTGGTTACTGAGCGGGTTTGTCCATCCTGCTCAGGACCTGGCTGTCCTCTTGCATTCTAGAGTTTCAGCCGCTGTGACTGGTCGAGCCTTTGGAACACTGTGTCATGGTCGTCGCACTTAACGATCCAAGAATGAGGGTTGTTTACTAAGAACTGATGCTCTTGTCTCCCTGGGCACGCTTTCCCCAGTATCCCTGTAACTGGGAAACCAGTCGTTCAAAGGTCGTTTTGGCGAGAACAGAAAGGGAAAGATACGGTGCATTGTCGGTTTAGAAGACAGTTTAAGTTAGACCGTGTTCGGATGTGAATAAGTTATCCTTTCCGAAGGAGCGTGTCTATTCAGTACTTGCAAAATTTGTTTAGAAGTTGTTGGCCTCCTCTTTTAGAGGTCAGCTCCTTGGAGGCAGAGATCAGCTCTGTACTTTTCTTCTTAGCCGTGAGTGGACAGCGTGTGGATCGAAGTGCTTTATACCTCTGGTCTTGGCAGAAACAGGACAGGTTCAGGTGTCTCTCTCAGACCCTGCTTCCCTGTGTTCCACACGGACTTTCAGATTCTCACGTCCATCTCTTCTGAGACCTGTACTGTGGATCGATGCTGGTGTTCATTTCTGTCGCCATTTCATTTTGCTGTCTCTCTTCCTGCAGTGACACTGCCATTCCTTTTATTTTGTTTAAACAAAAGCTGTTTGTTTTTTAAAATTGGGCGATGCGCTCTGTTTCAGCATTGACTGGGTCATGTGTATGATCATACGTCTTCAATCTCACCTCCCGTGTCACCCACAGGAACGGAGGGATGAAATTGCCACCGTGGAGACCATCAACAATGGCAAATCCATCTTTGAGGCCCGCTTGGATGTTGACAGTTCCTGGCAGTGCCTGGAGTATTACGCAGGCTTGGCCGCGTCCCTGGCCGGTAAGCCCTTGCCAGGCTTTCCGTGACCCGCTGGCAAGGAGGCAGAGGGGTAAAGATTTCAGGGTTAAGGCCAGGGGCTTGTCACTTTCTGCTTGGATGGCCCTGGGAATGACTTCTTCCTTCCTCAGACCGCGGTGCTAACCCCGTCGTCTTGGTCGTCGCGAAGATTAAATGCGATAACGCGGGCCGAGCACCTGGCCTGGCACTTGAGCTTAGGCCACACTGTCGCAAAGCCAGTCTGTAGAGGGGTCCGTTCCTAGTTTTACCTGTTTAGCAAAAAAATGTCCTTTGGCTGTCCATGTGGGATGAGCAGGGCCCAGGAGGGCTGTGGGATGTAGAGTCTGAGGTTTCGGGGGGCTCGGGCTCTCCTGTGCTGGGTGTCCCCCCATATCATCTACATTATCCGCTGGACGCCCAGTAGAGTTTAGAGAATCACGTTAAGTGGAGAGAACTTGGTTTGCGGGACCCACAGGGTTCGTGGCGTGGGAGAAGGTGTGAGCCGCCTGTGACAACGACGCGGCGGGCCACGGTGGAGGCCGAGGGGGCCGCGTGCCGGGACGCAGGCGTGGGGCCTGGGGAGCAGCCCCCCTTCCTCTGCCGGTTTCCCCGCAGGTGAACACATCCAGCTCCCAGGCGGGTCCTTCGGCTACACCAGGAGGGAGCCGCTCGGCGTGTGTGTGGGGATAGGCGCCTGGAACTACCCCTTCCAGATCGCCTGCTGGAAGTCGGCGCCAGCTCTGGCCTGCGGTGAGAGCCACCTGTCCTGCTGTCGTGTTCCCCCCTGCCCTCCCCTGCCCCGTCCCCCCAAACGCGCATGTACCCACACACAGAGACACCCCCAAACGCATACACACATACAGACCCCCAAACGCATACATACACAGAGACACCCTCAAATGCATACACACATACAGAGATCCCCAAACGCATACATACACACACAAAGACACCCCCAAATGCATACACACACACACACAGAGATCCCCAAACGCATACATACACACACACAGACCACCAAATACATACATACACACACAGAGACACCCCAAACGCATACACACATAGACCTCCAAACGCATACATAAACACACAGAAACACCCCATGCTTACACCTCACAACACACAGACACCCCCAAACGTGCGCACACGCACACCCACACACCGACACCTCCAAATGCGCATGTATCTACACACAGACACCCCCAAACGCATGGCATGCACGCACGTGCACACAGGCACCCCATACTCCCATCTCAGACACAGACATTCCCAAATGCATACACACACACGCATACACCCCTATGCACACGTACACACATCTCACACATATACACACGTCACACACATATAGTCACACACACCCATACTCACATGTACACACACATCACACACACACGCGTACGCACATCACACGCACTTAGGCGTTCTCTGTGTCGGAAGCGGCCTGCGCTGGGCGCGTGAAGCCACAGGACGTGTGTTCCCCGCCCCGTGTGTGTGTGACTCTGCAGACTGTGTCTGTGTGTTGCGCGTTGTGTTTATCTCATTTCCTTCTGTTTTTGGACAGGAAGAAAGTAGGTTTCGGTCCTAGGTTTTACGGTCAGCGAGTCCGATCGGGCCCCTCGTGAGTGCGCCCCCTGTCCGGGCGGAGTCTGTGTCGCAGCGCTTAGGACTGACCGCGCTTAGGACTGACCACGCTTAGAAGCGGGGCGAGGCATCCTCCTCGTGCGCTGAGCAGTGTGAGCCAGGCTCCCGTGGAGGGGCCTGGGGAGGAGGCCTCCGTGCATCTCAGAAACACTCTAAGCTGAAAAAGGGGCCGTGCGTCGGAAGGCAGCTTTCACTTGTCACTCCGCGTTCTTCTGCACGTTCCCGTGCGACAGGGCAGAAATGGCGCGAAGCCCCCAGTGCTGGGGCTCTCGCCAAATTCATTATCTTCTGGCCTCCAGTGCCAACTTTGACACAATGGGACGAGCCTGCCCGCTTCCTTCTGCCGTCATGGGTGTCGGGGAGGTGGTTCACGGGCAGCGGACGGGCCGCTGGCCGGGAACGGGCACACGTGTGGTTTGGGGTCTGTTTAACAGGAGAAACCATGGTGGGAGGAACAAGGTGTACTTGTTTATTCACGTTTCTGGCCTAGAGTTTGCTGGGGGACAGGAAACGGTCGCACTTGCTCTCGACCTGTCCCCCGGCCCTGTCCCCAGTGGCGCAGCGGCCGTTAGCGTCTGTGCTGGGCCCATTGCAGGTAACGCCATGGTCTTTAAGCCGTCTCCCTTCACGCCTGCATCCGTGCTGCTGCTGGCCGAGGTCTACGCCCAGGCCGGGGTGCCTCCCGGCCTCTTCAACGTGGTGCAGGGGGGCGCCGCCACGGGCCAGCTCCTATGCCAGCACCGCGACGTGGCCAAGGTCTCCTTCACCGGCAGCGTGCCCACGGGCACGAAGGTGAGACAGCACCCGTCTGGGTGAACGCGCGTGGCACCTGGCTGTGGGCGGCAGGTGCCGGGGGCTCCGACCTCGCCTGGCACGGAGGGGAGGGGGGCGTGTGCGGGTCAGTGGAACGGCAGCTGGTGTTAGGCGCATGGGGACAGGGCGGAGTCACTACCTCCTGTGTCTGCGGGGCAGACCTAGGCCGGCGCTTGTGGGTTTTGGCGACTGATCTCGGCTGTGGCGGCCGCGGAAGGAAGGGCCTTTGCTCAGTTTGCTTCGGATTCACTGTTTTGACCTGGATCCGTGTTCTGGGCTCCGTCAGCCCCGAACGCAGTAGCGGTGATTCGAGGGGCCCCGCCCGGGGCGGCCCCGTGAACGGATGTGTCTTTAAACCGGATCCCGCTTCCCAGTGTCTTCGGCGGTTCTGCGGGTTCTCGTCAGTGTCTGGGGAAGGCTGGCGAGGCGGGCGGAGGGCGGAGTGTGCCAGGGCCCCGGCCACGGCGCCTCCGGAGGCCCGGGGCCACCCGGTGCGCAGCGTCGCTTGCACTCACGTTCTGAGCGCTCCATTCTTGTTTTACAAGATCATGGAGATGTCGGCGAAGGGGATCAAACCCGTCACCTTGGAGCTGGGCGGCAAGTCCCCGCTGATCATCTTCTCAGACTGCGACCTGGACAGCGCCGCCAAGGGGGCGCTGATGGCCAACTTCTTGACACAGGGAGAGGTGCGGTCCCCATCCCCGGAGGCTGGGGGCGGGCCCCCCTCGCCCAACAGCGAACTTTAGAAGCCCGTTCATTTGGAAAGAATTTGGGGGGGACGGAAAAGCGCCACGGAGCGTGAGAGCGTGCGTGCACCTCCGGGCCAGGCCCCTCAGACGCCCTCGGCTCGCCACGCCCGCCCCGCCGTCCTGGTTGTCAGACGCGCACGCGTGTCCTCCCGTCTTTCTCTGATCTGCTGAAGGTCACAGTGTGAGACTCCTGAGCCCTCTGCTCCCCGGGGACAAGCGTGTCCTCCTGCGTGAGCCCAGAACCCTTGTGACGTCCGTCCCTGGATGTTAGTTCAGTCCACGGACTTTACTCAGACTTCGCCACTTGACCAATGTCCTTCTGGCAAAAAAAAAAAAAAAAAAAAACTTTTCTGGTCCCAGATAGAGCCGGGGAGACACACGTGTTCAGCTGTCACGTCGTTCACCCCCTTTCCTTGGCGCAGCCCCGCAGCCTCTCGCCCCCCAGGGCCTAACGGCCCTTGCTTTTGTGTCGTGCCCTCGTTTTGGGTCTGCCTGATGTTTCCTTCCGCTCAGATTTAGGTTATGCGTTTTTGGCGCAAAAAAAAAAAAAAGGCCCAGAAAGGCCACGTAAGTGGTGTCTGGTCCTCCTCGTGGCGGGAGTGCGTGTATAGCTTTGATCTCTTGTTCCACGTGGCTCTTCACTGGAAAGTGACCATTCTTGCTTCTGTTTACTGAGTACGCCACGCAGGAGACAGAGTGTCTTGTCCCCATCAGACCTTGACCCACTGGTTTTAGCATTTTTCCTCAATTTTTTTTAAATATTAGTTACTTAAATATTAGTGATGACAACCTTCATCTGCAATGTACATTGCACATGTTTTCTTTTTGTTAGTTGGCTTGGCTTTGTTTGGGGTGTTTTAGCTATGCGAAAAGATTTTTAATTCTGTGTACTCAGATTTATCATTTTTTTCCTCTCGTTGCATCCAGATTTTGAGTAATAGTTACTAAATTTCTGTGAGCACTTGGACCTCTCTTGGGACTTTCTTTTCCTATTCTGTTCTGATGGCATTTGGACAGCGTTTATGTTCGTGTCTGCGGGGGAGTCTGAGTCATTATTTGTGATTTTTAGAGACGGACGTTGACTGAAATGCTCTGGGTTTTTAAGCTCCAGCCCTGAGTTCTTCGCTGTTCTTACCCAGCCTCTTCCCACTGTTACCTCGTGCTCGAAACATGCAGCCCAGTTGAGCAGCCGATATGAGGAAACAGGCCCCGCAGGTCACACGGATCTGTGAATAAGCACACGAAACAAACAGAGCTTTCGTCACCGAGGGCAGACGGTTTGTACCGTAGGGCGGTGTGTCCACAGCTTCGCGCGTGGTCCTCTTCCACACGGGGATGAGTGTGAGGCAGTTGGATTTCCGTTCTCCTTTTCCTTCTTGCCACACTGATACACGCGTGTTTGTCCCTCAGGTTTGCTGCAACGGCACGAGGGTATTCGTGCAGAAGGAAATTCTCGACAGATTTACCGCAGAAGTGGTGAAACAGACCAAAAGGATAAAACTCGGGGACCCCCTTCTAGAGGACACCAGGATGGGCCCCCTCATCAACCGGCCACACCTGGAGCGTGTCCTTGGGTTCGTCAAACTGGCAAAGGAGCAGGTGAGGACCCGTGGAGATGCACGCGTCAGGCCGGGCCGAGGCGGCCACCCCTCTCCACGGCTCTGTTCCCCTTTCCTGTGCCACCCCTGGCCCGGCATCCGGCAGCGCTCCGCTGCACATGTGCAGTGGGGTGACTGCGTGTTCGGGACACACGTGGGGGTCGTTTGTTCAACATAACGAATGACCCCCCTCTTCTTCGCAGGGCGCTACAGTGTTATGTGGTGGAGAGCCCTACGTGCCCGAGGACCCCAAGTTAAAGGACGGGTTCTACATGACGCCTTGCGTGTTAAGTACGTTCTCCTCGTGTTTGCTTTTCGATGGTTTAATGGTGAGATTGAAAATATTTTGTCCATGGTGGAAAGCGGGGGCTGGCCAGCCGTGTGTCCCCACTGCCCAGGCTCGAGACCTTCTCCGTTGTCTTCGAAGCTTTCTGCGACCACACCTGTTACTTCACTGGGCACTCACAGGGTGTCCACCTGCCATTCTGGAAGCAGTGGTTCAAAGACATGAAAGTTCACGTCCAGTGAAAATCCGACAAATGAATCTCATTTCTCAAGAAAGGTGGCTAAGGGTGTATGTTTCTTTGAAATGTCAGTTACCAGTGTCATAAAGGCGATTTTTCAGACAGTGTTAGTATTTTTAAAAATCATGTAACTTAATAACTTAACATCTTCTTTAAATATGCATATTTTAAAATGTCACGTGAATTATTTCGGGGCGAGCCACTTAAAGGGACTTCACTACGTCACACACAAGGGACTTCACTACGTCTTCACAACGCGGCTGTCGCTGCGTTGGCTTTTGTGTTGGGTTTTCTTTTTTTGATGACATTTTGAATTTTATCAGAGTCATTAAGAAAATGCAGAAAGGTATAAAGAACAGTAATCATACGTGTGACATTTTAACAGAAATCGGGACAGTGTCTTCCACAGTCTGCATCTTTTCCGGACAGTGTTTTGTTACGAGCATTTACTTACTAAACTTTTGTCAGCAACACTAACACACTTAACAGAGGTCCGTCCTGGGAGGCGGTTTCGCACATCGCTTGCAGTTTTCCCTGTTGTGAGCCCTGCGATGAAGGTCCCCATAACAAGCCTGTCCGCCCGTTAGCCACTTCCTCACGACGAGGTAGCGGGGGTTTAGGGTCGCGCCAAGGCTGTGGCTCTGATTCGCACCGTCACACTGCCCGTTCCGCGTGTTTTCACGCAGGCAGAGTCGCGTGGAAATTCCTTTAAAGCGTGATATGAACGTGGAACGTTGCTACGAACGTTCTTTGAGCGTCAGGGATAATGGTTCCCTCCCTGATGTGTGGTTGGCTATGCTGCTTGCAGCTCATTGCAGGGACGACATGACCTGTGTGAAAGAAGAGATCTTTGGACCAGTTATGTCCATTTTATCATTCGACACCGAGGCTGAGGTTCTGGAAAGAGCCAACGATACCACGTTTGGACTGGCCGCTGGCGTCTTCACCAGGTATGTCGGGAGGGACTCGCAGCCCGCTCCGAAGGAAGCAGGCCGCTGCCTCTGCTCACGCGTGACACTGGCCTCCCTCCCTCACTATGTTTTCTGTTTGCTTCGGGTACAGTCGGAAGGTGTTTGCCCCGAACGGCCGTAGAACCCAGCTGTTGAGTTTAAATCGAGCTGTAAGCTGAGTTGCTGAGAAGCCTGTCCTTTTTCGTTGATTTATTGAGTACAGATGTTTAAGGTGCTGATCGGCGTAAAGCATGAGGTTAGGTGCCTGTTGACAACATACGGGGCCGGGAATTTAGACACATGTAAGCCGCAAGTACTGGGCAGTGTCCTTCAAAAGCGTGAATTGAGTGGCTTCACATTCCTAATTGGAGTGTGTCGTAACCCACGTGGGCACCCTTCTGTTGCCACAGGTGAGGTGTTTCCGGCTTTCTCTATTGTGAGAAATGTGATGAGTAACTTTCGACACAAACTTTAACCACTGTAATAAAAGTACGAAGTGCCTTTGGGACAGACTTGCTTTGAAAGTGGTCGCGGATTGCTCGCTTAGTCTCTGGTGGTCGCGGGCAGTTCTCTAAGGCCGCTTCCCCCTGGGATTTCGCCGTTTCTTTGGTGAGAAACGGTTAGCTTTTTCGTAGGCCGTGGTCAGGAACTTGAGAAGGAAGACTGGGGGACCCGGTGGGGTGGCCTTTCTGAGCCCTGGAGGAAAGATTGAGGATCTGCTGCTTTTTTTTTTTAATGGACTTTATTTTTTAGAGTAGTTTTAGGTTCACAGCAAAATCGAGAAGTACAGAGAATGCCGCGTATCCCCCCGCCCCCCGCATGCCACAGCCTCCCCATCACCAGCCCCCTCACCGGAGGGCACACCGTCATAACAGAGGAGCCCCACTGGCATGTCGGCCTTACCCGGCGCCCCGAGTTTGCGTCAGGTCCCCCCTCGGTGTTGGGCCTTCTGCGGGTTGGACGAACGTGTGATGATGCGCGTCGCGTCGTGCCGGGCGGGGTGGCCCCCAGGAGCCCCTCTCTGAGGAGCTGCTCTTTCGCTTTGAGGACCGAGGGTGCTAAGTCTCTGTCCCCGCTCTGCCGCCGTGGCGCAGACAAAGGCCAGTCCCGGGGCGGCTGCGGCGTGCCCCGACCGTCGTTCACCGGCTCCGGCGGGTTGACTCGCGCACCGCGCAGCCCACCCACTGCGTGTACGGTTCGGCGGCTTCTAGCAGATGCGCAGAGCTGGGCCGTCGGCTCCGTCTGTTTCAGAACATTCTCGTCAGTTCAGGAGCATCGGTCGCTCTCCTTTCTCCCCTCTCCCCAGCCACCGGCCGCTAAGTATCTGCGTGGATTTGCTCATTCCCAGTGCTTTCTGTGAACGGAGTCGGGCAGCGTGTGGCCTTTCGTGGCCGGCTTCTCTCGCTTGGTCGGTTTTCAAGGTTCATTCACGGTGTAGCCTGTGTCAGTACTTTATTCCCTCCTGTTACCGAATAACATCCCAGTGTTTGTGAATACTGCTGATGGACACCTGGCCTCTTCCTACCTGTGGGCAGCTGTTAGTAGTGCTCCTTTGAGCACCTGGATGTGTCTTTGTGTGGCCCTATGCTGGTTAGAACTGGCGTCGAACGGTTCCCGTTAAAGAAACAGTAACTGGCACGTTTTTTTTCTTCGAAGGGACATCCAGCGTGCTCACAGAGTGGTCGCCGAGCTCCAGGCCGGAATGTGCTTCATCAACAACTACAGCACCTCCCCCGTGGAGCTGCCCTTTGGAGGGTATAAGAAGTCAGGTGAGGAGCCAGGAGCGCGAGTGCAGACCCCGGTCCCCGGTCCCCACAGACCAAGATCCTCAGCCTGTGTGTTGCGATTCTCAGAACCCCCTGCAGAAGCGTGCACGCCCCTGCCCCGCCCCAGACCCCCCGCCTCCGTCTCTGGGGGTGGATGCCCAGCCTCTTCCATCTGCCTTCACAGCTCTCCGGGGCTTCTGAAGTGTGTGGGGACTGGCTAAGGTTTACCTTAGGGTCCCGTTTTTCAGTTTGACGGAGCTCTCCGGGGGTTCTGAAGTGTGTGGGGACTGGCTGAGGTTTACCTTAGGGTCCCGTTTTTCAGTTTGACGGCTGGGAGAATAAAGCTGCGCCCCCAGCCGTGTGCGTCTGCACCCGCTTTAGCTCTGGCTTGGGTAAAGTGTCTCTGAAGTGTCTCTAAAGTGTCTCTGAACATCTCAGAGACCACGTGGTAGTTTTGTCTTCTTTATTCTGGATTAGTGAGCATCCCTCAACGTAACACGTGACCATCTGTTACACCGGGTGGCCGTGGGAGTGCTTTCCCTGGGCCACTGCCATCCGCTTTCCTCAGCGCTCAGTCAGACGTGTCACCTGAGCACAGCAAACCTGTCAGTCCAGTGGACAGGAGGAGGGTGGAGGCATCCGAGACACAGCCGTGACTTTGAGATTCTCTCTTTGGAGTTTGTTGCCTGTGAGCGTTCACTGATTTCCCATACTCTTGTGAAAGTTGGTTTGGACTTTTCAGAGGCGCCATTCTAAGAGTCTGAGCCCGAGTCTGTTGGCAAACATTTATGACTATCACAAGTGCCGGCAAACACGCAAGGCCTGATGACTGCCACTGACATGGGCTGTGCATTTGACCGTTCTGGTTGGTGTTCAGGCTCATCCCGGCGTTCCCTGGTCAGTTCCCAGAGGAGCTGAGCGCACAGGCCCAGGCGCAGGTGGGGACCGGGTGCTATTTAGTCATTGCTAATCATCAGGGTAGGGGCGTTTGCTTGGGGTCTATAGCGTGGCCTCGGTGGGGCCTCCCAGGCCAGCTTTCCCATCCCGAGATCCAACCTCGGGCCGAGGCCCACGGGCACGCCAGCCCGGGCTGTGAGACAGGGCCGGCCCGATCCACAGGGCAGCTCCTGGCCTCGCACGCCCAGCCAGCTCTGTGCTCGGAAGGTTCGGAACAGAAGACAGGCGAGGTCCGGGCAAAGGCCTTTGTGCACGTCACCTTTGCATGGTGTCCCTGGAGACGTACACTTTGGGGACCGGGCCTCACCCTTGGGAGACAGAGCCTCCCCAAGTCTGGGGTAGGGCGACAAGTAAGGCCAAGCGAGGGGTGCTGTCCCTTAGCGCGGAGCCTCGTCCGCTGACAGTCGGGCAGCGTCTTGGCCTCCGAGGAAGCCGAGGGGCCTGACACGTCCGCATGAGTGGCCGGGGTGGGGTTGACAAACTTAATGTGAGAGTAGGCTCAGAAGCCCACTACGTAGGGTTCGGTTTTAAGTTCGCACCGAGGTTCAAAGGCATCGGGTTGATGGTTGTGGATTTTGCTTTGGCGTTTGATAAGGAAAGGCCGAACTGTCAGACCCCAGCCCCGAGCAGCAGGTCCTAGAAGCGAAGGTTCACGTTGGTAAGAAACGAGACCTGGATATTTCTGTCCCCTCCCACCGCTGGCCAGGGTGACCTCCCACACCCCGCTCCACAGCTAAGATGCTGTTGCGGGCTTTATCTCAAACGTTTCTGTTGGGCGTTCCTCCCCCAGCCTGACAGGCAGTGCCTGCCTCTGAAGGTCACTGTGACCTTTCAGACTGTCGCAGCGATGGCTCAGCGTCACCCCTTGTCTTCCTTGCAGGGTTTGGCAGAGAGAACGGCCGTGTGACCATCGAGTATTACTCACAGCTAAAGACTGTGTACGTGGAGATGGGCGATGTGGAGTCTGTGTTTTGAAATCGCGCCGTGAAACCCGTCGACGTGGCCAGGCCGAGGAACAGAGAGGACCGGCCCTCTCGGCGGGCCCGGCCTTCCCCATCCCCCACCCCCCTGCACCCCGCTTCCGTCACTGGGGACAGGATTCGTCACCCAGACATCTTCCTAACTGAAACTGTAGAAGTGCCTTCTCCTCTGCTGTTACGGTTTCCTTTGGAGGGTTGAGCAGCAGCAGGTGCTCTTCTCTGCCTCCCCGTCCAATCTTGTCTCCCAGAGGTAACTACTGTTAACACTTGGGTACTGGTTTTTCTAGGATTTTCTTCAAGGGGATAACTGCTAACGAACCCTTTATCTGGACGGGGCCTCGTGTAAGTGGGCCCACCTCACACCATTCTTATGTATTTTAAGATGTCCTTGGTTGGCAGATGCCTACGCTACAGGTATTGATAGACGTCTTGGAATGGTATTAAAGCGAGCGAGAAAAAGCAAACCGCCCCCTGCTGGCTCCTTCCGTTGCAACAGCACAGAGACCTGATCCGACCTGGCTTGTTGTCACCTCCCATTCAGAGGCAGGTCTCGCCTGGGCAGGTCTTGCGCATACGGAAGGTACCACCGGGCCCCTTCCTTCCGCCTACTGCCTTTCGTTTCGTTTCGTGCTCTGTAGGTAGGTCCTCTTGCTGCTTAAGGCCAGGCTCCGGTTGGCTGAAGTTGGCTGACCGTCCGCCTCTTGCAGAGGGGCGAGAGCACCCCCGAGCCCCGCCCGCTTCTTACAATGCAGAGTCCACTCAGCCTCTCTGGCAGGGCTGCTGCTGAGGGTGGCTTTCCTCTGGAATAAAACGGCTCCTTGGTTTTTCTCATACTCAGAGCCCTCTTGTTTTTGATTCAGGGTCCGAGGGGCGAAAGCCAGCAAAGGGCACAAAAGCAGACCAGGCCTTCGTGGTCACGGCGCTGCAGAATCTGTCAGGAATCAGGTCGGCAGGAGCGGCCTTTTCAGATTAGTCAGAATTCATGTCGTTGCTGGTTCCTGCTGTGGCTCTTGATTGCAGTCAGAGTCACGTCTACACCGCCGACCGTCACCTGTCTGCCCTGACCCCGTCTTTAGCGCTCTCCCTGCTCCCCGCTCTGCCCCGCAGGCTTGTTCTCCCCTCGGGAGCCTCTTGCTGCTCCTTCCCCCTCTGAGAGTGTGTCCCCCACACCTTCACCTTGTAGGCTCCTGAAAAAAAGAAAAAAGCTAAAAATTCACCTTCTTAGCTCAGCGACACCCCCACCCCCCACCGCCCTGGTTCGTTTACTCCAAAGCGGTCATCGCTATTTGGAATCACGTGCTTATCATGTCTCCCCCAAGAGAATGTCCACTCTAAGGGCCAGAACTGTCGTGTCACGGGGCTGAGGGGACCCAGTGTGTGCGTGAGTGACGGGATCAGAAGGGACCCCCCGCCTGTAGGACTGCAAGTTAACGCCGCCCCGTGGGGCTCCTGCACGACGGGGCGTCGGCATGGGTGTCACAGCAGCAGCTGTCACTCTGCACACGGGGCCTCGCCCAGGGACACCTGGTAGTGCCGAGATTCTGAACTGACCGGCGTGGGCGCGGCCTGGGCAGCCGAGTTCCGCTCACCCGGACGTCAGTGACCATTAAACAATTCACCTCGCCGGTTGTCACAGGCTCGCTGGGAGCCGCGCCCTGCGGCGGCCACTGAGCTGGACAACGGCGACATGGACACGGGCAGCCCTGGAGCAGTGCTGGGGCGACCCCGCGTCCTCGAAAATCCGCGCGGAACTTCAGGGCCTGCACCCGCTCTTGGGAGACGGTGGATGGGGAACAGCGCCATCCGCCCGCGTGGGGAATCCTGGAAATGCGCGGGGTGGGGGACGCGGGGGACACGAACCCCGGTTTCCCGCAGAGGCCGCAAGCGCAGACTCGGAGGAGGCCCCCTGCGCACGCACAGGCCATGGAATGGACGTGTCGCCTCGGTCGCCGTCCTCTCTGGTCCCAGGTGCCGCCTGGCGGGGAGGACGGGCCGGGCAGCGGCGCCGTGGACAGCGAGGGTCCTGGGGTGAGGAGGGCGAGGCGGCGCC